GCATAAAATTATAAAATGAATTTGAATCACCTAGATATTTTAATTTAAAAAATTTATATGAATATCTTTTGGCTCATTCAACATTCAACGTTTCATTTTTATAAAAATTATGTAGGAAAAATCTAGGAAAATCTTATATTTTTCAATTTTGAAGCTCTTGTATACATGTTAATGTAAATATTTTCATTTGTTTATGAAATGTTGCCTTAACAGCTTCAGAAAGTTTGTTTTTTGAGCAAAACGCTGCCGTTCATCACTTACTGCCATTCCTTAAAAGCCTTAAAAAGAATTTTCAACATACTCTAGTTGCCTTTTTGCCCTAAATTTTTTTTATTAATGTATTTCACTTAATAAATATGTTTCGATTTAGAAATTTTTGAATAAATGCCTTCTGTCACTTTTTTTTACAGAATATGTAGGAAGTAAAAATCCCATGGGACGTTGTGGGATGACAATGTTGGAATCTGATATCAGCTGTAACAAAAATATTACGTGCAGGAAATAAGTGACCTTATTTGTTTTTCATAGAAACCGACGATTTCTTCAGGGATTTTATTAAATTATAAGAAAATTTTCATTTTCCACCTCAATTCCGATTTTTTCTGCAACATTGGCGCACAATTGACTTTTAAGATAATGTAAAGAATTTTTCAAATACAAGGAATGATTGAATAATTATAACAAATGTTTAGTGTATCTAAACATCCTTCGCAATTAATTCATATTTTTTGTTAAATACACGTGTGCACAATTTTCAATGGAATTCTTTCATTTTATTTGAATTAAGGTAACACATGGTTTGTTATCAAACTTATGAAAATAACAACGCAAAATATATGTTTTTATAAATATCAAACGTCATTAACAATCACTTATTTATTTTCGGAATAATGAACGACAATACGTTAAAATAATTAAAAGCAAATATTCGTCATTATCACCTGATTTATGTTTTGTTTATTTTTATCCATATGGTGATGGTTTCCTTTTGATTATTATCTGACAATTGAGAAACAAAATCACGAATGTGCTTTCTCGATTCGCACTTCGGTAGTTTGATTTTTCTACTTCTCTTCTGTTTGTTTTTTGTTGGATATTCTCTTAAAGGTTTTTGAGCTACAATTAGTTTTTTTTTATTTTTAGCATTTGTTTTAATTCAATTTTCTTTACTCAAATGTTTATCTATTAGATTTTTCAAATATTTGCAATTAATTTATAAACACACGATTTTCGTTTTATCTTTATCCAAGCTTTTATTTTTGTACTTTGCATTGCACTGTTTGACTGTAACTTGCCGACTGATTCTTAGACTGTTTATACATCACAGTTTTGTTATTATCTCATTCATGCTTTTCAGCTTTTCCATTCATGTTCGAAGAGTTTTTCGGAGAGAAAATATTTTCACGAAAGAGCTTACAAGATAAACTTTCCGTTTCTCTTTCTCACTCTCTTTCATAAATATCGTAAATATTATTCTTTACTATCTGAAAGAATGAAGTTTTGAAATTCTTCCAATAAAACGAAACATCAAAAACATAAACAACAAACTTTATACACGAACAGTAATTTCATATGATGTGTAAAAGTATAAAGAATGTCTAACAGTGCAGGCCTTCCGATCATATAAAGAAATGTCTGAACAATAATTTTATGATCTTAACACACAATTCTTTTTAATAAAGCCGTTTTATGACTCTCGAAGCTGGTGTGGATACTCCACATAAATTGAAAAATAATAATGACAATTTTATGGAGAGCTTTTATTGATGCACTGTAGTCAACATGTGGGAATCAAAATCATTACGCAACGATGATTGTAATAAACAGGAAGTGTCTTGCTTTTTCGACACAAAGGTTGAGAAAAAGATATCAAATGTTCCAATCAACGACTTATATCTTTTATCACTTAAGATATTGACTTTTATTATAATTTAATCGATAATTTTTATACTGTTAGGAACTTTAAATAAGAACGCGATTTATTCCAAATTCGTTTTTTATATTGAACTTTCAACTTAATAATTTTTTTCTTTATTTCTTTATTTATTTTATTTTAAATAAATGAGAAGAGGTTCTTTTACTTTCTATCGAATGCATAGACAATCATAGACTGATTCAAAATTTCTAGAGATAGGATCATATTTTACAATTTCGAAATCATCAGCAACATCATTAATTGAAAATCTCTCAAAGAGAGCATAAAAACACGTGCTTAATGTAACTGTTGCGCATAAACCCATGAAAACCTTAACATAAAAGCATAAAAGAAAAATGAAAAGCTTTTCAAAGATGTCGTTGAGTTCAAAAATATTTTTGATATAATTTTTGTCGTTATTTCTTAGCAAATTTCAAGGAATAAACGAATAAACGAAGTGTGCTGTGAAATTGCACTGACATTTATCAAAGGTTTGAAAAGTAGAGAAAAGGAAACCGTGCAGGAAAAGAATTCAGAATTTCAGATTAGCATTCTTTATTTGCAGAAAATTCCTTCCATCAATAACAAGCATCTCAAGTTTATTCAAAACATTTTATTCCTTTGATATTTGAAGAATTTCTTGTAATTCTTTCTGGCGTTGATATAACGTCATTCTCTCTCATTGCTAGGAAAATATCAGCAAGTGTATTACATGCAAAGTTATTATCTGATATTCCAAGAAATTTCAGATTTGATTCAAAAATGCTGGGATGAATATTTTCAATTCGATTTCCATGCAATGATAATGTTTCTAAGTTATTTAACAGAGCAAATATTTTAAATTTATGATGAAATTCAATGTTATTGTAAGACAAATCTAAAGATTTCACCATGTCTGGGAAGATGCCATACTTTAATTCAAGACGATTAAATCTCAAATTGAGAAAGATGATGCCGTTTAAAGGCTGAAATAATTCGTAGGGAATTTTTGTGATTTCATTTCTGCTTAGATTTAATATCTTTAAACTCGTCAATTTTTCAAAGGCATTTGAAGAGAAATAAGAAATCTGATTATCACTTAAATTTAAGATTTCAAGTTTGGGCGCATCGTAAAACACCGTCTCAACAATCTTTTTTATCTTATTTCCGGACAGGTCGACGACCCGCAATTTATCTCCAAAGGGAAAAGAAATTCTCCTGAGCTCTGCTATTCCAACGTGATTTGCATATAAATGGGTGATGTTACTTTTCAGTGTTAGAAAAATGCCACTGGGAATTTCATAAACGGTGGAATTTCTAAATATTAGACATTTAAAATCATGAATATCTCTGTCAATTTGGAGCGTTGAGTTTCTTAAAATATTCATATTTTCAAAAATGCATGAAACTTTCATGTCACATTCGGGATAATTGGAAAAATCCACATCAGCATGTTCCAAACAACAACCTGATTTGCTTTGATCACATGTGCAATAGATAACCGCAAGCAGTAGCAAAATATTAGTTCTGAAAAACATTTATGTTGTAAATATTCTGAAGTAAACATTTAAACTTTTAATATTTAAATGAAATCAAACCTCATAGTAATCAAATTTCCACAACCTCAACTCACAGACTAACGAATGGAAAAATCATTTAATTAATAAACCGAGTACAGCTCGAAAACATGTAACGTTGATAACAAAATACTCGTTAAAATTAAACACAATACGATAATTTTTTGTAGAAATTTTCAGTGGAACTGTTCAACTTTCATTTGTTATCTTTGAAAAGTTTTATTTATTATGTTCAGTTCTGTGAATTTAACAGAACAAAGTCATATGCAAGTTTCACTCATTATTTCCTTATTATTCTCTCAAAAGTTCTTATAATTTATAATCACGTGGTTTCAATCTGATTATACATCATCTTGTTGTTAGGTGCTTTACTCTTCGTTATCTTCGCTGTAGGTGAGCTTGTTAGATGTTTGAGGGATTATTGCTCTTAATCTGTGTGTTAATCTGCCCAGAATAGCAGTCAGTGCGTATCTAAACAGATTAAAGATGTTGGCAGTATACGATATTCTTTCAGCATCCGTCATTACGTATATGGCCTGATTTTATGTCGTGTACATTAAATATTTCACTATTTGAAATCATGTATTCATAAAAACAAATAAATTTATAAATTATTTAGTAGCAACTCTCGTTCTAACAGACACAATTTATCTGAAACATCCTAATATTTATTGAAAACGAAACCGTAAACGTTTCCAAAGAAAAAATCAACTTGAGTACAGTCTAATCTCGACATATTGATAAATGTAAGCACCAAAAAATATCACTTCATCAAGTATTTTAGTTTGAAAAGCAATCACTTATTGAGAGTCTTCTGTATTTGTTTTATCAAGTATCTTATTTGAGGCCATCTTTACAACTTTTGATAAGAAAATTGTAGAATACAACGGTCTCTTGATAAATGGGAAAATTCTTCAGATCGTTCAATATTTTTTTACCGAAAGACCACCAAGTATTAAAACATCCATCTAATATTTCATTCTTCATTCAGTATCAAAACAATTTCTCCCCAAGCACTTGAAGAAAAAAATATTTCAAAAGTTATGTTTTTGTTTTTAATATTCCAACGTAGGTAAATGTTTTAGTATCGTAGAATGGATAGACCTGGAATGGATATGAGCAATTTGAGAAATAATAACAAATTGGGAAAATATCAAATTTTTGAACTTTTATTTTTCTCAGAATTCCATGTTTTCCAGGCAATTTAATGAAAAACATTTCAAATGATTATGAAAGAATGATTATCTTTCCATCAAAAATTATTCGTTGCAAAATAAAGAATTTCCTTAAAGATCAGAAGAATGAAAAGTTAAATAAAAATATTCTCCAGGTGTCATAACAACGTGAGCTTCTCAGCTTTGCATGGATTTTTATTTTCCTTCTGTCGACTTCACCTCACATTCTTTCGAGAAAAGTATCTGAAATAAAAATAACAAAGGAGTCAGCATATTCCGCAGTCAGCCGTTTATACAAAAAAAAGTCTTGATTAAAACATTTGGTTTCAACGAAAACTCCAAAAAGAAAAGAGAAGGGAAAAGGGAAACAGTTGCTAAGTGAAATTGAAGAGATATTGTGAACAATTTATAAAGGCTTTCTATACACGTGAATAAGAAGCCTTTTCTGTTTCACAAAACATCCTAATAAGTTCATTTGATGGATACTTAGATGGACTTAAACGGAAGAAACAAAATGAGGTAAGTATTTATTATTTTAAACTATTGGAATAAAAAACTTTTTTCGTGATCTCGGAAATTCATGAATTCAAATTTTATTATTTTACATGTATGAAACATCTGGATAATAAAATGCTTGAATAAAATAAAATAAATCTGCTGATTTGTCATCTGAGAGCTCAGAAATAAAGAACAGTTAACATTTTGATTTACGATGGGAAAAGTAGAAAAAGCAATTTTTCTAAATATCATCTTTGATTAGAAAGCAGCAAATGCTTATTTGTTTGACCGTATAATTCATTATGCTTCATGTTTTCCTTCCACAGATACTTTAATAATTCCCGTAAGCTATAATTTGGCCTTTCAAAGTTTCGTTCCGTCAAATTTGTTAACTTTGAAAGCATCCTTTGTTCTTTTAATTTCTCGCTTGGTTCCTCCTGATTTCTGTTTTTATATAAAAAAAAGAGCAAACCCATTATATCCAAAAAAACAACAACGCAATAAAGAATTTTTCTTGAATTATGTAAAATATTATAAGGCTGAAGAATTTCTCGTTTGTTCTATTTATATTGGCATATCAAAGAAAAAAGTCAACAACATGCTCCGTGCCAACACACGCATAGGTAAATATTTATTCAATTTGTTTTTCTGTAAATCGCTTGAGGAAGCATTTGTTTTCGCTTTCGTTTTGATTCAACTGTATACAAGTGGTAACAGTAAATAGATAATAAGAAACCGGTCTATATGGTACTTTCTCGCTTCTTCTCTTAGCGCTTTTAATTTTCAAGTATCAACACACAACACAACACAAACGCTAATGTTTATGTTAAACATTTACAATGAATTTTCAATGCCAGTAACGATGAATTAAATAATAATTGTTAGGCTTATTTTGTGTTGTTACCTAATTAAATTAAACTCCAACACAACTCACTCTTTCTTTTCATCCAACTTCTTCTTTCATTTTACAATATACTTAATCGCGTTCATAACGTTGAGTTGTAAACAACAGAAACGGAAGGAAAATATTCACAAACATGTTGAAAAAGCTTCAATAGACAAAGTGAAAATGAAAGTTGTAGCAAATTATTGAATGTAATTTAATTAGAAGAGAATCCTATCAAGTTCTTCGCACGAAGCCAACATTTTTCACATTATACATTGAAATTTCATTAGGAAAGTTTGATTTAGTCAAGCATGGAAGGTTTGTGAGGAAAATGACAAAGTGGCGAATTAAAATTGATCAATCATCTCGTGTTAATAATTTACAGTGCAAACGGGTGCTGTGAAAACAGGAGGATATCGGTACAATGATGGAACGTGTTACATCGGAGATTGGAATCAAAAAGGACAGAAACATGGAATGGGCCATTTATTACTGCCGGATGGCGTACGATATGGTACGAGTTAAATTAATTTTCTGCGATTTTTCATCATCAGCTTGATGACTAATAAAAAAATGACGTTGTGTGATTATTTTCTATCAAGATGGAGCATTTCTTAATGGTGTTTGCAGTGGCTTGGGCATCATGAACTTTCCCGACGGATCAAAGTATGATTATGGGAATAAAAATCTCAATGAATGTATTCACTTTATGTTGCAATTATTTATTTATAATTCTTTTCCTTCAAGATATGAAGGAGAATTCATGCAGGGGTGGTGAGTGTAAATTTTTTTCTTTTATTGAAACTAAAATCGAATGACATTAATGAAAACATTATAGGTTTCATGGGATTGGAATCTTTTTTCGTTCGGATGGAATGAAATACGAGGGAGAATTTAGAGGTGGAAAATATTTGCTTTGATATTTATTCTTTTTCAATGGAACGAGGACCTAAGAAATGTTTAACTTAAATTTCATTTCTTGTGTAGGCGGAAGGATATGGGGGCTTGGCCTTGTAACATTTAACGATCTTACGAATGGATTTCCAAGGAATGAAGGATTTTTTCAGGACTGCAAACTGATAAGGAAAAAGAACTGCCCCGACATTATACAACGTGCCCAAAAGATAGCGTTGATGGCTAGAATACAATGTGAACAACCCAACTAATCGACTTAAAATTATTCCTGCTTAGTCCATTTCAAATTCAATTCTCACGTTTGTAAATGAAATAAAAGTTAGATGTGGGAAGATAAAAAACAGATATCCTTTCAAGAAATCTGCTTTTGAAGAAAACTTTATGTTTGGAAATCCACTTTTTCAAGGCATTAAACTCTTATTGGGGTAATGTATCCTATTTCAAGTGATAATTCAACATAAAAGAATGATGAATGTTTATGTTTTGCAAGTAGTGGTGATATATATTTTCATTTTCAGAACAATCATGCCCATCTGAAGAATGATGTGATGAACTATGATCTCAATAAGATTAAGATATCTGCTTTGACAATACAATTATTTCATTTATATACTAAATCGTCATGAAAGTTCATTAGAAAATTCTATTTTGAATGGTATGCCAAAATGAATTTTTGTGATAGAAATCTAATTGATTCTTATCACTATGTCATTGTGAGGTTGTCAAAGGAAATTTATGAAAAGAAGCACTTAAATGGTTTTCCTAAGATGAAGAGATGAAAGGTCTAATTCTAGGTACATAAAATAAATGAACAGCAATCTTTATGTATACATAAATATGCTGAATAGATATGAACTTGATAATTTTCTTACAAAAACCTCCAAGCAAAGTTATTTTAAACAAGGAACTTGGCAAGTTTTAGAAAGAATAATATTTTGAATAAATGGCTGTACTAAGAAAAGCAAGACAAGTCTAAAATTATAATTTCAATAAATTTCCACAAATTTGAACTCAATTATGGTTTGTAAGAAAAATATTTGAAATGTCGTTTCCTTTTCTGTGGCTTTGATAGATTTCAAGAGCTTCATACAATAATAGATTTGAATTGAAAACTCGTTGAGTTATTCTTCAGTTATTCAGCTACGGAAACCAAAAATTTTCCGCTCCTTTTTCACATCTTCTACTTTTTTAATGTTGTACTGTCATTAACTGTGTGACAAACATAAGAAAATCTAAAGAAGACATTTATGAACGAAACTTTCCTCGAGACATTTCATAACAAAAGCCTTAAAACGTTTATAACTTGAATTCATCTCATGACTACAGTGTACATAAGACGCATGAATATAAAATGGTTGGTTTTATCCCTATCTGGCTTGTTTGTAGGAAAGCATCCCAAGCAGAATAATCAACATTCAACGAACTTGAAATAGAAACTTTTATGTGGTGCTTTTTACATGCTCTATCTTTGTTTCCAAGTTAATAATCTGCCTCAATGACTTCACAATAATAAAACATCAAATGAAAAAATGCTTCGGTGAGCTTACTTTATTTCATTAATTTTTCTATGCATCACTACAATTGAAGTTATAACTTTTGCAATTATCCCACTACACTCGATGTTTATTAAAACTTCACATTTGTAATTTCTCAGTTTTCAATTAAAATTTTAATACGAAACAATTTCTGGATTCATTTCATTCTCTCAAAATTATTTAGAAACTGTAAACAAGCTGATATGAATTGTGTGACAATTTCCACAACTTTACATTTAAATGACGTTCAACAACTTTTGAACTTGTAAATTTGAAACATCTTTCGTAAATAATGCAGCAGTTCTTGTTATTTATTTCCAAAAATAAATCAAAGGAAGTGCAAATTTTAACCTGCATTGCATTGGTAATGTTTTCCTATGTATTCATGTCGACACTTTGTATGTGAGTTCTGAATATGTATAAGGGAATAAAATTTCATAAATAAGTATGGAAAGTTCCAATGGAAACATAGAAAATAACATTGGAACATTTTTGCTAACATTGTCAGATTCAGAAATACCTAACATTCAGTTTCAATGACTATGTGTTGAATGAAGAAAGCAGACACCGCATCAGGAATGCGAATATCTACTTGTATACTTTGTTTCAAGAACATAAGATGTTAGCTTGATTTCGATCTTTATGGAAACCTTTTTAAAGGGATGTTAAGATTACCAAGAAATTGTTGCTTGAAAAACATGTAAAATGTTTTTCGTTTTTTCATCTTCTCACAAAAATTGATGTTTATAAGCAGTTTTTTCCTCGAGTTTTTATTTTTTCAACCCAATAGAAAGATTTCTTCCAAGTAAAGTTGATTCACTTCAATTGAGAAAATAAAAAGGATTTGTGGTCCCTGACAACGCTGTCAACCGAATTTAAGCCTCCGATGGGAATGAATAGATTTTCGATAAATGCGATGATTTTTCCATAAACGTTCTTGAATTTATTCAAACGTTTCCGCGATGGTTTTGTAACGTAATTATTTACTGTTCGAGCTTTTTAGTTATTAGGTTCTACATTTAAAGTTAGTATTCTTATTCATGAGACTCTCAGTCTCCATTTTTTCACTTCAAATAAGGAATTTACGTTTTCCGGAAGTTCTTGATTTAAGCTTCTGCTTCGACATTCAGGAAATCAATCTGCAAGCATCCGTATTTTATTCCAGTCCTTATTTTCAGCATATTTCGTTCAAAGTTAATTGTGCTGATAAGAAAAAGTTTGATTGCTGTCACAAATTAAATCTTAGGTTCAATTTATTTCTATTCAAGGTTAAAGAAATAATGAAATGAAAGCTGTAATATATTTAGAATACTTAGGAAATGAAACTGAGTGGAAAACTTGTGATTGTGAAAGAATTTTAACATTTTCTGTTTTGTACAAGTTCCGTAAATAGTTCCGAAGCATGATTTAAATCAGGAAAGTTAAATTTACACCGACTGAAAGTTCGATTGAAACGAATGGTGGACCTTTCAAGCGAAGATCTTCCACTTATGTGAGCGCAACGAGTAAAGGTGAATAATAACAATGTAAACGTCCTTTCATGATGCTAACGAATATTGTGTGAACGTATTCAGGTAGAAGTCGTGTACCTAGCCCAGGAAACGACAAGTCATCTTCCTTCATGGCATCAGGTAGCAATGGAAATGAAGCATCAGGATCTGAGACAAAATCGAAGCCAAGGTCAAGGTGAGTGATAAAAGCTTTCAACTTATTTTACTATTCTACAGATACAATCATGAACCATGTTCACCTCTCCATTCATTTCCCTCGTCACTTGTGGAAAATGAAAACAAAGACCCCAAAAGCTTTCTTAACAAGAAATATAAATATCTAAAAGAAGCTACATTGATGTTTCATTTGTATAAGAAAACATAACAAGAAGCTTGTTTCGTCCCTTTTTCACTTACTTAAAGTCCTTAAGAATATTGGGAACATTTCTGTGCGAGAAATTTGATCATTTTACACAAGATTGCCAAATGAAAAGCCTAAAATTTGCATATTTATCCCTTTTCTGAGATTACATCATTTGGGTTTGGTTGAAGATCATTTGAATTGTTGTTAAGCTTCCTTAGATTAATAACTTAACTTGTTGTTGAATGAGCTTAAACATTTCTGGCTTGAAGTTGCCATTCAATCACATCAATTTCTTATAAATTAAACAAAATTAGTATCTGTCGGAAACAACTTCCATGTTGGCATGAGAAGCATAAGAAGCTTTAAAAATGTTTTCAAATTATTTCAAGTAAAGTGTCTAGTTTATAAAATAAATCTTTCTTGAACGCTTAAGTACATTGTTCAGCAGAGCATTAAGAAGAAATCATATGGAAGGTGTGCTCATCACTCATAAAAACTTTTGACAAAGAAATTTCTTTCGTTGCTCCTCGTCTTCTATTTCTGTCAGATTTAATTTCAATTTTTTTTCAATATTTATCATTCTTAATAATGTCATTTATTAAATAGCTTGCGCCAGTAAATTTAAGATCAGATATTGTCACATTAAAGCTTCTTCATAAATCAATAAAAATAAATACATCTCGAGATTTCTTTTCTGTTATTATGTCAACTCTATTTGCCAGTTGACCTTAGAAGACTCAATTTTATTGTTTCATTTATGTATTCTGGCATAAAAAATTAACCTAATTTGATTTAATTACACATGGACAAAGTTTTAACAATAATTTCTATATGAAATATAACATATGGTCTAAATAGTTCAATATAATTAATCATGTTGTTATTTTTCCGCTCATAAGTAATTCAATTTCCTTCAAGAAAACAAAGCAGCAGATGCAAAACATTGTTGAGATTGATATTGCTGCGTAAATAAATGTTTGAAATTCTCCTATGGAGAAACTAGACAGAGGAATTCTGTGGGGATCTGAGTTGGACAACCTCGAGAAATGAATGACATAATCCAAAAAACAGTCAACTCTTGTGACAGATTTTGACATGTTTTAATTTCAAACTTTCAAATTTACATGTTGAAAGAATTTAAAATTTATTAATTACAAAAACAGTTTTTTTTTTGTAAATTGCAATCTTCTGAAAACATTGAATTTGATTGCTTTTTTTGCAATTATATTTAGAAAATGATTCATTTTTATTCACGTAGTCTACCGTTGTTAAGGTTTAATCCTTCTAATTTAAATTTCTTTCAGTTTTTGCTATGAACCTTCCATAACTTGCCTTGAAAAGGGAACACAAATTAATTGAAATGTTTAATTTAAATGAAAAGGTCTGGTAGCTTCAAATAGGTACTTCGAATTTAAATCTAAGTATTAATTATTAAGAAATTGTTCAATTGAGAAATTACTTTTTTTTGGAGATATCCCAGTAAAAAAACATTTCGAATTTGTTTTTTATCTTTGATTCTAGAATTGTTTGTGATTTACTCAAAACATTTTTAATTTGTTTTTGTTTTATTCCAAGCAACCGAGACTTAATTCTTAAATGTTTGTCCAGTTGGAAGAACTTTCAAGTGTATTGAAAGCAGATTTTGTACCTCTATCGAGTACCTCACTTAAAAAACGTTTTGTTGTTGAAGATTTGTTAAAAGCAATCTCAAAACACTTTTCAAGTATATTTCATGTCTTGTCAATCATTCATCGTTTGAGAAAAACGAAAATTCCCTTCTTTCATGTTTTATTTAAGCTCATTCAATGTTCATGCTTTAAACAGACAACAGCACACGATTTTGTAATAAAAGTTAGAAAAAGTGAAAAGTATCCCTTTACCGAATCTGAATCGCAAAATGATGATCTAGATAATTAGATACCAAAAAGGAAATCTCGATTATTTCTTTCATCATGTTGTTAAAAGATACTTAAGTAAATAAAAACAAATGATAAAATTTGATCTTTAAATTAATCTGAAATATATTTTGAAAAACAAATTTGAACTTTTAAGCTTAAGTTTCTCAAACTAATTTCGGTTGGAATTGTTTTTCATCTTGTTTCCATAAAAGTATCATTTTCCTAATTGAATAATATTTAATTAAGTTTTACCTTCCGGTGATAACACTCTTGGTTCTATTAATATTTAACAATAATATAATTGTTCTAACTTTTTGAATGCTGGTATGAGCATTTGAGCACCAGAGTTGAAAATTTGATTCATTGGTCTGCATAATTATCGAGCTTTAAGATAAAAACATTTTTTTTCTAGAAAATGTATTTCATTATCAATAGAAACGTTTTGCTATCAACGTTTTATTCATTCAATGATCCGCAAATAATTTCCATGAATATCGATGAGAATCACTTTTATATAATGTCGATAGTAGTTTCAAACATGGCCTTCAATCTACAGCATCGATTTTGTTTAGATTGTAATTTATTTTATTCGACATTAGGAAACTTTTTCAGGATGAAGAATTTTTTGAATTTATGCACAGTCATCATCATCATTATCAACATAAACGAGTACAACATGAATTTTCGTCAAGTTTTGTCCCTCGTACAAACTTCCCTGTAATGAGTTCTCCTTACATTTATTTCACGGAAAAAATAAAAACAAGCTGTGCCACTCTAATGCTAATCAATTTCTTACCCTTTATTATGATATATTAATAAAAATTACTTTTTGTGATCATTTTCATTGAAGCATTTTAATCTTTGAGTGCTGAAATATCAAGATGGCGATGGTAAACATCTTCAACTTTTTATGAGAACAAATTAGGTAAATTTATACATCTATTAAGAAAAACAACGACGTTCCTGTTTCATACCTTCACGCATTCATTTTATTCAATTTGTCTTTCCTCATTCACATTGCTAAACTTCAACATACCTCACCTAATTGATTATTTATTTGAATTGAGTTTTTAAATTCAAGATTCTTATGGAAAAAAGAATTGACGACTGAAATTCTATAAAATAACGCACATTTACGTATGAGCAATTGGAAACAGGCAAGAGTCTAAATCAAATTTCATTTTATTACAATATCTAAGGGGAGAAAAGAATATAAAAAAATATCTAATTTACATTGAGAAATGGAAATGAAATAAATTTATTACCTCAAGACTTTCAAAAAAAATTCCTTCTTGAGACCGAGAAAATAAACTTCAGAAATACCAAAAATTTCTTCATTAAATTATAATTTACAACGCCTTTTCTCGTGACAAAAATCAATTAGTTTATCAGAAAACTAATACTTTATGCATAACCATTAATTAGCACGAACAGAAATCGACCGAAGTTATTATCAACTCGAAGATGATTATATCAAAAATCTGAGGTTTTACGTCAGAAACGGCTATCACAAATATATTAGTTCAATACGAATTTGTAAACTTATCCAGATAAGAAGTAGAAATGAATGAAAGTCACGTTTCATCGATTTACAACATCTATGCATACATGCCTAAGGGAAAATCTTGAGTTGTGATAATAAACAGATGTTAAAGTGTTTTTCTTTGTTTAATCATCAAAACTGAAAATAAAGTTTCATTAGTTACATTCATTTGGAATCATAGAAGGAAAGGATGGCAGAGTAAAACAGAAGCAATTTCTAATGGGCAATCAGCGAAAGTAGAGAAATGAATTTATTTCAATTTCCAACATAGATTAATGAATGAAAAAATAACATTTCCTTTTGATTTCCTTACTCTTATTTTTTTATTGTGTTGGAATGATAAACCGGGCAGTCTAAACCTTTGGATAACATAACATACTTTATTGAATGAGATCACGCAATAAATAACTTTATTTCCGGAATATTTTTGAAGAGAAATTGCTGAAAAAATGTTTGCTCGAGATTAAAGATACTTTTAAGAAAAACAACAAGAAATAATTATGTCCTTCAAACTAATCATTGTAGATGTGGTATGAAAAGCTTTAATCTTTATTTCTGTCGTTCATTGAATATTTGTGTGAAGGCTTTATGAAGGTCTAAGCAATGTGATGGATTTTCTAGAACTTCCTTTAATCCTTTTAGTTCTTTTTAATATGGATTAATGATGGTTACTGAGGTCAACAAAATTGATTGCATTGGACAAACAGTTGCCATCCTTTTTCCTATTAAATAAATTGTTTTGTATAATTACATCACTTTGGCTTCAGTTATCATTTTGTAAACACAACGCGTTGTCTGGTTTTGATTGGCATGCTGAAATTTAAATTAAATATTAAATACTTGTTTTGTTGATACAATTAACAGCTTTATGTTCAACATTGAATTACGAAAACCGTTTTTTGGAGTTTTAATACAAGTATCTAGTCAATGTTTTATTTTCACAATTATTAATTTGTTTTACATTCTGCTTTTCATATTCTACAACATTAATTTATAACAATCACATGAACATCATGTAAAATAAATTTTTCGGTTGAAAAATTCACCAGAAGTTGTTGTTCAACTACATAAAGAGTTCATTAGAGCCAGAATATCTTTCTTAATACCTCTTGATTAAATGTTTGGACGAATTTGTATCAAATTTTAGGCATTTCTCCGATTTCAAACGAGCAGGCAAATGCAATATTGATAAGATTTTATTAATAGTATGGTGAAATTTAAGCATCCAAAATGATCCAATTGATTAATATTCTTACGAAATCCAATTTCAATCTAATATTCATTATATTCCAACATAAATTGTACATTTTTGAGCTTGATTTGTCTAAAATTCTCTTTTTTTAAACTGATTTATCACAATTCACTTCGCATTTGTAATATTTCTACATGATTATATTATAATACTTATTGATAATTGTAATTATAATTTAGATTGTAGAAATAATAAAGGAAAAGCACTCCCTTCGTCTAGAGTTTAATAACAGAACAGTTAATTCATATGATATTATTTTCATGAAATTCCTTTCCACCATAACAAGATTTTTTAAAGAGAACAATGAGAGTTCCAGTAACCACCGACCACTTTAGGATTTCTTATTAGATAATTTATAAAAAGGACAATTATGAGAAATGTCGACATGTTTGACCCATTTACAATTTCACAAAAAAATAAATGTAAAAGTAGGTCAAAGGTGACAATTTTCGGGTCAAATTCCAATGAAAATTTCGTCATTTAAGAGTTGCGTATAGTTTTTGTTTTGAATACCTGCATGATTTGATTAGTAACATCATTTCATCAGATTTTGGCAATGTTTATAAATACTTATCAATGCTAAAAATATCACTCCAATCCTTTTTCCATGTTTAACAGTGATATTGTGATGAAATATTATTTTATTTGCTAACCAACCACTTTATGTGAATTCCTTTCAATTCATAAATTTCCCAACCAACTTGATTTTTTTTTATTATTTCATAGTCGACATTTTCAATTTTAAGATATTCAGCATCAAAATACTTCTATGCTTGTTTATTAAAAAAAGTTATGTTGCGAAAATTTTAAACAAAGGATTAATACAGCAAAAGTTCGTAAGCGCTTCAACTTTAAACCTTTCAATCGTTACAAGCTCTTTTCATTCCCAGGCTACAAGAATCAGTTTGAACTTTAAAGCTTTGATAACATTTTTGGTTTGAGAATTTAAACAAAGTGCTTTAAAGAGAAAGTCTAAGATTTATTAATTCATACTTGTATTTATATCATTTCAGTTTCTTCTTTGCTTCTTACTGAATAGAACAATCCTCCACGCTGGTGCCAGCGTTTTGCATCTGCTGTTTTGTTTTCCTTGATGAACGTCGAATAAGGGATCTATTCAAACAAAAAAATAAATAAAATGATTAATGATATTGAACCCGGTTACGTGTTTTATCAAAATATGTTGTAAAGAGTTTGTCCATGTGTAAACGAATCAAATTAAGATTATTCTTTATTCAACATTGTATGTTTCTAACCTCGCTAACCTCAGCCTGTAAGAAACGTTGAAATAACAAGAGAAAAAAACATGAGATGAGTTTATTGATTTATTTAAGAAGTGAATTATTCTGAGAAGATAAATCTAGAAGTAAGGGAAGTTTCATTCTGAAAATATTTGGTCTGTGATCTACTGGAACGGATGAATAGTCTAAGAAAATTATAAAAGGATAAATACTGGGAAAAGATAACACAAAATGTGACAGTTGCAGACAACCGAGAAGGGATGAAGAAGAAGAATCTTTGTAAAAAGTTTCCATGAGTGATGAGGACACCTTTCATTGGATTTCTTCTTCGATTCTTTGTTGAGTTTTCTACACAAAACATTCAAGATAGATTTGTTTCATGAATTAACGGCTAATGAAATGATTGTCAAAGGTTCTTAATGTTCTCATACCAACATGGAAGTTGTTTCCGACAGATACTAATTTTGTTTAATTTATAGGAAATTGATGTGATTGAATGGCAACTTCAAGCCAGAGATGTTTAAGCTCATTCAACAACAAGTTAAGTTATTAATCTAAGGAAGCTTAACAACAATTCAAATGATCTTCAACCAAACCCAAATGATGTAATCTCAGAAAAGGGATAAATATGCAAATTTTAGGCTTTTCATTTGGCAATCTTGTGTAAAATGATCAAATTTCTCGCACAGAAATATTCTCAATATTCTTAAGGACTTTAAGTAAGTGAAGAAGGGACGAAACAAGCTTCTTGTTATGTTTTCTCATACAAATGAAACATCAATGTAGCTTCTTTTAGATATTTATATTTCTTGTTAAAGAAAGCTTTTGGGGTCTTTAATTTCATTTTCCACAAGTGACGAGGGAAATGAATGGAGAGGTGAACATGGTTCATGATTGTATCTGTAGAATAGTAAAATAAGTTGAAAGCTTTTATCACTCACCTTGACCTTGGCTTCGATTTTGTCTCAGATCCTGATGCTTCATTTCCATTGCTACCTGATGCCATGAAGGAAGATGACTTGTCGTTTCCTGGGCTAGGTACACGACTTCTACCTGAATACGTTCACACAATATTCGTTAGCATCATGAAAGGACGTTTACATTGTTATTATTCACCTTTACTCGTTGCGCTCACATAAGCGGAAGATCTTCGCTTGAAAGGTCCACCATTCGTTTCAATCGAGCTTTCAGTCGGTATGATTTTAGATAATGACAGCAATGTCTTGAAAAGTTCATTGATGTTGTAGTTATCTTTGGCTGAACATTCCATGACTTTCACCCTGAATGGAGAAAAACCGAATGGCAAATTGAATTTTCGATAGCAAGACAATCAAAATTAATCGTTTACTTAAGTTTCGGTAGTTCGCAGAAAACCCACTCAGAAACATCTTCGATACGTACTTCACGATGTGTTTCTACTAAATCCGATTTATTACCAGCTATGACGATTGGAATATCCTTTTAGAGAATATGTTGGGATTAAATGTCATAAAATTCTATTAATAAAAAATTAATTCATTTCGATGGTTTCGTTGGTTCATATCGCCGAAAAGAGACTGAATGTCTCTTGAGGTTATTTTCAAGAGATATTTTTAATCAAAAATGTACTCGTGTGGAATCGATGATATAAAAAGTACGAAGAATTATTTAGGAGCCTTGAAATTGTTCCAGTTTGGTGTTCAGTTTTTGGCTTGTTTCCTTCTGTATTGATAAATTTTTCAGCTTTTTTGTTTTGTAAGTATTTGGGGATTATTTCAGTTGATATTTAATTCATAAATGGAAATTTCAAATCACTCTGCTTAGTTAACAATTTCACCAATGAAATCATGATCGAATTTATTAACTCTTCGTGAGTTGCCCCCTGATTTTATTGATAATTCAATTTTCAAAGACCAGATAAATTGAGTTAAACGATGACGAACTTTTAGGAAACCTTTTCAAATATCGATCTCAAATTAATTTAGAAGTTTCACGTAATACTAAGTTAATATAAAATATAATTAACTCATTAATTAATTAATTAAAGTTATAATTTATTTATAATTTGGATATCTTATTTCGTTAATATTTTGAGAACAAAATTACATGACGCTTATGAAATCGATGTAACTTATAACAAAAAGTTTTGTATCAACATACCTGAAAGTCAGCCCTTTGTTCTCTGATTTCCTCAAAGCACTGCTTAACTTCAATGAAACTCGGTGCTGAGGTGACCGAATACACTAACACAAAGGCATGAGCAGTTGCTATAGAAAGTCGACGCATTGCAGGAAATTGCATGTCACCCGATGTATCCAAGATATCAACCTAAATTGTCCAAGAAGAAGTTTTAATTAATATTTCCTTTTCGCCAGAAGCAGTTTATGCTTAACATTTAACCTTGAGAGTGACAGATCCCAAATCATATTCTCGATTGTGTAAGTCTTCGACTGTAGGGCGATACTTGTCATTATAAGTCTTCGTTAAAAAACGCCTAACTACGCAGGTTTTTCCTACACCCGCACCACCCAAGATAACCAGCCGAATGCGTTCAAAGTCTGACATTATCATTTAATCGTTTTTTTTAACACTTTTAATAAAACCTCAGAATTTTGTATTTCACTTGTATCCGGACCATTTAAGTTGATGTTTGCTTTATAAATTATAAGTTTACAACTTATGAAAAACAAGCATCATCTAAAAGTTTTTCAAAATGGGACTGATTCACAAATCTGTTTTCTGCTTTCATCATTAATTTTTAGTCACAGAAATCACTGAAAAGATTATTGCTGAATTAAAACTTTATCATCAAATTTTCGAATAAATATTTCGAATCGTGAACCCTTAAAGTGCCCAATATTTCACAATTGAACGAACTTTGCAACAAAACTCATTAAACTTCGTACAATTTTGAGAGATTTGATATTTGAAATTTGCTTTTGATTCAAACATAACTTAATACTTTTGAAAGCTTAACTTTTCACACGTCCCTGATATCATAACAACGTTGTTGAACCTAACAGTTTCATAAATATCAGAGTTTACGTACTTATTTGATAGCACTTCAAAGCGACGTTGCTATAGGCGAATTGCTGGCAGAATTCTTATAATAAATTACCTCGAGCGGAAATCATTTAGATGTCATTCTTCTTGAGTACAAATAAGGACTTTTTTACGTTTCTACGTTCTACAATGCATCAATCAGTGATGGCTTTTACAAATGACGTCGTAAACGATACATATATTTATATATTTATTATTGTTCATTAAGATTTCAGAGCCTCTAAGATTCATTGAAGCAAACTTAAAGATTATGTCTACCATAAGATCTCTCATTATAAAAAGGTCGAAAGCATAACAAAAACATTCAACCACTTTTCGTCATTTCTGATTTACCGAAAATGTTGTGAAAATCTTCCACACTGGAGAGAAAAATTATCGATTTTTTTTCTTTTTTCCTACACTTGAAATAAAGCAAAGCAATAGAGACGGTATTCATTGAACAAAGTATTTCTTCTTATTTGATGATTGCTCTTATTATTCTTATTATTATTATTGAGGTTTCATTCTTGAAGTTTATATCCATCGCAGCACAAGCAGTTTAAAGCATTTTTATACTTATCATGTTTAGGGAAATAAGTTTCTTTGTTTGAATTAACTAAATAGACATAGGCCATGACAAGCAGGATAACATTTGGTTGAACACAACATACTTACTTATTGCTTTATCTTCTAAATTTAGAAAAACTTTTAATGGATAACAGCAGATAACGTAAAAAATGCTGAGTAACTCAATCTTCAGGTATAACATAACTTAGTTTTTAAGGCCCTTAAAAGTTTCATGAAAAATGTTGTGGATAAGGAAAAAGCTTTGAAACTTTGAAATTAAGGATTTTTCTTTGGAAAGTTTGAAAGATATTGGTATAATATCGTAATTATGTAGATATATTTAAATTTTATAACAACGCAAACATAGCAGGAAGTTTGGTGAAGAATCACAAAAATAATTTATATAGCATTACGCAATTATTGTATAAAGTAGTCAAGCAAGAACTAAGAGGTTTTATTGTTCTAAAAGTAAAAGGAAGAAATCCATTTGCTTCGAAATTAAGACTTTATAAAAAGAATAATTTATTTTAAGTACTTAAAGTAGAAAATTTCAAATAAAAGGAGAGAGAGAAATTGAAACTCGTGGCGCCGTTATTTAATTATCATTTTAAATGGATTTCAGCATTCTATGCAGATTGCACCTTGAACGTGATGACTTTACTACTCTTCGTCGGTTGTTTTATGTTTTCACAAACATATTCATTATGTCTGCAAAGCTTTTACGTTTTCAATTCTTTGTTGCATGATTGGAATTCTTAAAACAAATATCCAACAAACTACAAAGAAAGAATGAGTAGGTTTCATTTCATCAGACATTGCTTAAACTTTCTGAAGACCCTTGAGTAAAACAAAAGAAAAACTGTGAACTCAAGAATGTTTACAAAAAGAACGCAATCGCTTTTAGAACAATAAAACTAACACTTTGTCCTTTCAGTTCTTTATTAAAAATGCGATAAATTCTCTCATGGGAAAAAACTGCTTGTGATTTGATTAAATTTATGCTTCAACTTGATTAAGCTGCTCTGTGCAATTTTTGTTAGGTCCTTAGACTCAGGAAAAATATGTAAATCGAGTTCCCTTCCGCCTTATTATAATATCAGAGCATCTCTATTTACATTCGAACAATAAACACACAAAGTAAAAGAATAATGGTGGGTGTCGACAACAAACTTTCCATTTCGCTTGAATCTTTAGATGTTAAGTTGAAATGCCGAAATTGAGATGTTTATTTTCTGCTCGAATATTTCCATTTATAATGAATTCGGATTCTTTATGACTCAACGAGCAGAAAATTTCTTAGGGTGTAAATCAGAGTTTCTGAAGTGCTTTTAAAAACACGATTATATTTATACGAGTAGACTGATGACATGTTTTGCAAATATTTCAAAATACAAGTACTGCGAAGCTTTTAAGTCTAATTTACATTTTCATTACAAAACATTTTATTACACTTTGTTAAAATATTTGTTGAGCTTGATATGAGCTTCCTTCTATTAAAAATCTACACTGTTAATTCAGAAAACTTTTTATTCCATGCTTTTTATTCACACATTTATAATTATTTGATATTCTGTCCCTTTTGATTAAAAATTCGGAGAGATTTAAATTTTTCCGTCCTTAACGTTTATGATACACATAAAGACTGTGCGACGTTTGTAAATTTCTCTGCATTTAGTTTAGGAAAAAGATTTCGATGTTTTCCAGCGCATATGCAAAAGAATATTGGAAGTGTTGGTTTCAAGATGTTAATAATACATTGAACTTTGACTTATTTTATTTTTATTAAAAATCCTGACAGTATGCATGAAGATATTTTATATGACATTTACAAAAAAAGATTAAATTAAATGTAAACGATATAAATTTAGGTAGTAAACAATCGCAGTATCGTGATTTGCAAAAGGTTTAACATCCATTCAATCATCACATGAGATAGATTTATATATTTTAAGATTCACGTTTCTTCGAGGTTGCAATAACGTCAAACATACATAATTTATTGGCATTATCCTTTTAAGCATTGCATAAAATAAAATAAATCAGTGATATGTGTAGAATAAAAAGGAAAAACAAACGTAGGAATAAAAATGCAGTCATTTTTTTAATTTATATAGCATAAGTATCCTGTTATAAAATTGCTTGGTGTTATGAAAAAAACCAAACAATTAACTTATTAAATAATTTAAAATCACTCCACGATGGTATAAGCTTCAAGTTTACAATTTGTCTATATAAAGCTTTACAAAATGTTTATGAAATTAGTGGTTTTATTTCCTGTGGAATATCTTGTTTGAAAACATTTTCAAAATCTTGAACAAGTCAAATGCAAAAAGCTTATACGTACTTTATTTAATATTCACACAAATCAGTCGAGATTTTTTTCTCCTTCCGAGATACTTCAAATCTCAAGTATGAATCTTAAGCTTGAAAAAGCTCTTCTTATCTGAGACACAAAGTCAAGACACTCGAAAATTAATTTTCAAACATTTATAACGGTTTTTATTATTTATTGAACTTGTTGAACTTCTTGTAATTTATGTTTAAGTTTGTTTATAAATTATTTACCTCGAAATTCAGTAGAAATATTTCTGATTAATGTTGTCTCTTCGAATATTAATAAATATTTTCATGCAATTTTATAACCTTTTGTTTATTAGTTTTCTTTAGTAAATACATAAATGTGAAAATCAGGCAAAAGCACAAAGTTTAATCGACGACAATAAACAAAAGAAAATAAAGTAAAGAGAAAAATTGAGTAGATTTATAAACTTATAAATATTTAAAATGTTTCCATCATAAATTGCCAATGACCTAAGCTTAATTAGATAAATAAAAAAATCTACTCATAAATTTGTACTACACGTTTAAAGCTTATTTGGAATGCTATAAATTTTGATTTGTTTTATAGTAAATACCAATAAAGCTTCTGAGAGAGAAAATTATCCAGAATATAAATTGTTGAGACATGAGAAGAGAAATTCTCATCATGAGCTTTGACACACTTAAAACATCTTTACATTGCTTTCTTCTTTTTTCCCATCGCATATTTTCTCTTCTTTCTGTTACTTAAGTATACATTAATGTTCTAAGAACATTAAAAAGTATGTCACTAGAGTTTCCGTTTCTTGGCACAGTCGAAAATAAAAGAGCATGTGAAGTTTTTGAGAAATTCTGAGTACAAATAACCGTAAAAAGCCACCTGTTTAAGAAGAATTTTAACTTTAGGGCCTTTCCATATGTTTAAATTTTCATGTCAAACAAAACCTACAAATTCCAACACATTCAAATTTTTTACTTAACTTTTGTTATCATTCTAACTTATTTATCACTCGAACTTGATTATTGTAAAACGTAATCAGTATCACTAAGGTAAGGAGAATTTTCGTAGTTGTTGAATGTTCAGAGACATTTTATTAGTTCTTACGGGTAATTCTTTAGAGAATATACACAGACCTAGAACAGTTGCTGTTTGTTAGGGTGTCTGTGAATTATTTTCTTAACTGTTTGTAAGTGTTTCTCAAAATAATATATATTTGTGAATTTATTCATTTATCTTATACAATCTAAAGTAAATAATAAGTTATAATTTTTTGATAAATATTTCATTGAACGAAAAAGCATTCAATGAAGTTCAAGTGATAAACTAGTTATAGGCATAAAATTTAATCCACTCAGCATTTTCTTAAATGTTTGGACGTGTCAAGTGATTAGTGCATAAAGTTAATGTAAAAATATTCCTCACATTAAATATTAAAAGGGAGAATAAAAAAAATGTTCAGACATATTTTACAATTTTTAAGCAAAGAGAAAAGTATTTATAGGAAGCTTAGACAAAAGTTCGCATTTGATGCTCATTCTTTAGAAAATAAAAATATTCGTAAGATTGGAGAAAAGAGAGTTTTATTTACAATTTTGTATTTTTGTCAATATTAAACAAACGAATGTCTTTAGAGAAAGATAGAAAATGAGTCTTTGAATGGAAAAACAATCTAAAGCATCTTTCTCCCGCGATGAGATTAACTTTGGATGTGTGAATCATTTCGAAATTTGTATGTTGAGAAGAGTCTTGTGTTCTCTTATAAGAAAGTTTTCTGGACTTAACCGTAGATGTTCGGTACTCATAATAAGTATCTGTTAATAGAATTATCTAATTTATTTTGTTCTGTTTCTAATAAAATGGAATACAATGAAACCAAAAAATGATATGATTCTTTAAAGCGTATTTGATGATAAGATTACTGCTATCATTTCTGAAACATTGTCAAGTTTGACACATAGTATCTATTAACCATTGAGTTTAATATTTTTAATTCATAATTCAGCAATTTAGAAACAATCTTTGCAATGAAGATTGAAAAAAATTAAAACTGTCAATTCCATAGTTGAATCCACAACTGTACTAGCAGCTATCGACACAATGTCTCTACTTAGAAAAATTACAATCAAATCGAGAGAAATTTTTCTCTTGAGGACACAAACACAAGGGGCAGATCATCGGAAAAAATTGGAGGGCAAAAGCACTATTGTTGCATTGAAGCACTAGACAAATTCCAAGAAAAAGTAAACAAATTCTTGGAAAAAGGCCATTTTTCTTGAAAAGCACTAGTGATTTTCGAAGCATCACTTGGAGGCAGCGGGCAGAAGCACTACCATGATCTGCCCCTTGCACAAACACATCGTCTTTACAGTTTTCTCTCTTCACTGAAGCGCTCAGAGTCGAACGTGATGTTGTATTGGAATTTAGAAATTTTTTTTCTTTGCTGTAATGTTTTCTGTCGAGTAAGGCAGCAGAAAAAAGTTTTCTTTTCTCGTATTTTTATATTTCTCTTGTTTTGTTGATCAGTTTCTGTTTCTGATCGATCGTTACAATATCATGATCGTTCATTCATCAACCTCGTCTCCGTGGATTACAACTCGTGTCTGGTGCGTCTTCTGGATTTAGTGAGAAGAAAAGTCGACATAATAAAAAAAATATATTTTAGTTTTTCATCGGACGAAAGTGTTGTGTGTCGTGTGTTTTAGTGTTGAGGATTTTCTCAGTTTTCTTTCTTTTCTGTTAAGAAGAGAAGAAAATTTTCTTCAAGGAAAACAGAATATTTAGAATAGAAATCGAGAGAGCTAGTGAGAAGAGGAAAATCATTCCCAGAAAAACAGATTTTTCGTATTATTTCTGAACAGAATTTTCTCATCGTAGCTTTTCTTAATATTTCGGTGGAAAATCTTATTAGAGTGAAAATTAAAGAAGATTAAATCGAATGAAAACTAAAGTGAAACATTGAAAAAGAGACTCAAAAGTGAAAAATCAAATAAATTTATCAACAGTTATTGAACATATTTTTTGAGACCACCAGTTGAAGGATTATCAGCCACATTGGATTTAATCAAGAAAAGCTTTGCCATGGCTCAGCCAAATCAGAGCTCAATCCGATATTGCTGTAAGTTTCTTTATAAATTTTAATTAAATGAAAAATGTTTTCCTTGTAACAACTTTTTTTCTTCTTCGTCATTACACAAACATTACGAAAAATTCTTATCAGCCTTTATAATTTTCGCCTTATCGCGAAGTAGAAAAAAGTAATTCTGAAATTACCCGTAACGTCACACCGTCGTGTGGGGAGAGAGAAAACAATATCACCGCAGTGGAAGTCGAAATGAAAATAAAAAAAGAAAAAAAGTTCTCAGAAGATGTGCTGAATCTTTTTTTTTCGCTAACAGATTGTTTTAAATTTGAGATAATTAAAATAGAAAATTCTTATCTTTTACTGGTGTGGCGCCTCTTAATGTGGGTATTGAACTTAATTTCACGGTTAATATTTGTTATTGTTATTCATGACTCGTAAAAAAGTGAAAAGAATCCTTTGAAAAGTGAACCAAAAATAATTCAAAGGATTTTTCTTCCTCACAAGAAGAATTCATGTGTTGCGTCGTTTGTCAATCAATTTATCTTCTTTTCGATTTTAATGCTCTCAATCACTTTGTGAGAATAAGGATAAACTTTATTTTTCTTTTGCGCAAATCGGATAAGAAAATTTTGTTCACAGAAAACAAAAAATTGTTGTTGTTGTATTTATGTGTCCCACAAAATCAGAATCCGACAATAATATCAAATCCACCCACACGAAAATAATTTTTCATATTTTTTCCATCCAAAAGGAAAATTTGCTCAATTTGTGTGCATTGTGACTAATCTAAAGGCTTAGATACTTCATGAGATGTCTCCAGATGTTTGCATCTTTCAATAATCAAACATCTTCAGAAACGCCTTTAAAATTATTTTTCAACGCTAATACATTTGAGGCATTTTGGTGAAAGTTTTGTTATTTATTTTTTTTTACTTTCCTCCCTGGTTCACCTTGTTTGTTGCTTATTTCTTTTCTGTCAAAAAAGAAACTTCTAATTAGCACAAATTCGTACTCAAGAAAAAAATAACAAACTACGACAAGCGACATTATGAAAGAATGTAAAGTGAAAATGGTTTTTAATCTTCTTCTTATTGTTATTATCTCTTTAAAACAATTTTGCTTTCTACTTAGTATGGGTTGAGACTCTATTTCACGAAATTCTGTCTGTTGTATTAGCAAAAGCGGGCTCACAAGTACTTTATCAACAACAATGAGTGAAAGAGAGCGAGAGAAGGTGGGGACAGGTGAAAATTCTGAGGGAAAGTTTTTCTTTCTTCTTTCGAATTTATATTTTCAACTTCGTTTCATAATAATAGCTCGAGCTGATGAGAAAATTCTCGTTTCGATAGCTTTGACTTTTGAAAGGCACGCCAAAAGAAGTGAAAAGAAAAAAAAAGAAAGAAAGAAAGAAAAAAAAATCAGTTTTTATGTATCCCCACCTCAAATATTACGGTTATGATACACCGAAAATAAAGCCCACATCGTCTGTTATATGAAATTTAAAATTTGTGAATTGAAATAAAAATTTCTAAATCTTTTGATTTTAAGCCTCATAACAAAAGTATTGCGATGAATTTAAACATACTCATAAGCGAGATATGCAATAAAGAAATATATGTATTCACATACAAAAGCATTAAGAAGAAAAAGTATGTAATGTAAGAAAAACTCATGATATGAGAGAAAGAAAGCAACAGGTTGGAAGCAGCAGAATTTCACATTGGAATGTGTGTTGTTTGCTATCTAATTGGATACTTCGCTGAGTAGAAATATACACAAACGCAAAGAAAGAAAAAAAAGTTTCACTTTCGATTGTTATCTGCTATAAATGGAGATCCAAAGAAAGCTTATTATTTTCTAAGTTTATGAGGTTTTTTCCATTATATTTTGTGCTTAACGGATTGAATGATAATAGTTATTTAAATAATATTGCTGTATACTTAACTGAACATAGAAAATAACTTTGAAGAATTTATTTAATTTATTTAATTTTAAATTATGATTGCTGAGAAAGTCCCTAGGAAATTAAGTTTGGAAATTAAATTCATAATGCTAGACTAAAATTGATAAAGAATTTATGCTGAGCTTTTGAAAATCCTATCAGTTTATCTTCTTATTCTGACTTTATCAGTTAAGATCATTAACAACGCAACATGTTTTGCTTTTATCAGCATAATTCTTAAAAACTTTTCCCATTATGAAATAAATTAATTAGATAGAAATAAGAACTTCTGATTATATCTAGCAAGACTGTTGATAATTAAGAGAGTTCTTCTTTTAAAACAGTTTATCAATTGTTAAAAAGTCTTTAATGAAATTAAAGTGCAGGGTTGAACGCTTGTTTATGACTTTGTTACGTTATGTTATCTGACCATTAGGAATTGGGTACAACCAGAAACTAACGTTTTCCTCTACATTAAAAATCACAAAAGAAAAAATCTGAAGAAAAAGATTTTCTTTTATTATTCATTCAGCATAAAGCAAAAGTTTAGAAATAAATAAAGAAATACATTTCTATATATTTTTATACATTACAGTTTCTCGAAAGCTGAGAGAATGAGAAAGGCAGCGGCAGTAGAAAATGTTATTTTTCCGTTCTATATAAACGTTAAAATGATTCTGAAAATCATTCTAAAATTAGATCAAAAGAAAAAGAAATCGTCTTCATGTGTTTATTAACGATCTTTTTTTTTCTTTCTGCTCGCTACTTCATCTTATTGAAGAGAAGAAAAATGCGATCTTCTTTTTTTCAGAAAGTGAAAAAAATCTTACGAGAAACATTTTCTTCTAGCACAACGTTCAATTCCTTGAGTTTTCTTTATGAGTCGAAAACAGGTGTCTGGGGGCGAGATTGCGAAACAAGATTTTAGAATTTTTTTTCGACGCCCGCACGATTGCGAGTCAGTTTCAATGAAAATTTTCTTTCTTTTACATCATCACTCAAAATGCACGCATTTATAAGTTCTTGAACACATCAAGTACAGTGCTAACCCAATTTATCCTGTATTTTAAAACCTCATTCAATCAATTACACGATCTGAAAATTCTCATCATCTTTCACTGTAACTTCATTTCTTTACACTTCTATTCGTCGTTTCTTTTTATTGTTTTTTATTTTAATACACTTTGCGGGATTCTTAGCTCAAATAAATCTGGAAATTGCATGTTAATATGATATAAGTGAAGCTTCTTGAGTTGTACTAGTTTCTTAACGTGGTTCACACTTTTCTGAATAAATACAAATTCACTATAAATAATATTTTTCTTCACTTTTCACGGACGTCATAAGTCATAAAACAACGACTGAAAATACTTTGAATTTCCTCTAAAATTTTATGATTTCGACTTAATTAAGCTGGAAAATTGCTTGTATTAAATGTTTTCTCCTATAGAATCACGAGTATTTAGATGATCCTTGTTCACATTAAGCTAAAATACTCGAATAAAATGATTTGAGAATCCTGCAAAAATATTTATTAGTAATTATACTTTCGTTAAGATCACGCGCGAAGACCTGTTAATGATCATTTAATTGGATCTTTATATTCTTTGGCGCTCGACTTTATGCATGAAAATTAATATTAACTCATCGACACAATGATTTAGATGAAAATTGAACAACAAAATTTGACGAGTACAGATTTGAAAATCTTTCTGTGGTGCAAAGTGATTTACTAATTTCTTACAGAAATATCTTCACATTAAATCTTTGCAATTAAGGCGATCTTCATAACAACTGAAAATCAAGTTTTATTGTTAAACTCGCTCGATGTGCGCACTGTTGAAGATAATTTATTGTTATTATTATTTTTATACTCTTTATTGTTGCTCTGAAACATTTCGATGCTCCATAGCTTAGCTTTTGTGCTCGAGAAAATGGAAAACTCAAAGAAATTTCTTTTCTCTATGGACTTGTTAATGTTTCTTAATAACGTATGATATTATTCCAATGCTTCTCAAGTGTCTTAACGGCGTAACTTAAATTTCACTTCAACTGATTTAACTGCTCTTCTCTCCACATACTGTTGCTGACCAGCATACATTTTAATTAATTCAACATTTCTGTGTATAATATAACCGAAAAAAATTGAAGCTTTGAAATTTGCTCTAGTTGAAGCTTTAAATGGAAAATAAAGATTTTTATGTAGTGAAGGAAACATTATTGCTTTCCGTCCTTAATGTAAGAAAATCATTAACTAACATTTTTCTTGATCTTTCATTACAGGGGAAGCGGACAAAGTAAAAACTCTCATCAGGTTACGAGCTGAACTGTCACCACTTTTCACAGGCAAACGAAATGCATCAAAATATGCATGGGCGTAAGTTTTGATTTTTCTCTTTATAACCCTCCACTAAAACTTTAATCCGGCTTTACATAACTTTCTCGAAGTTTACACAGAAAACTTATCTCAGACCAAAAAATTCTTGAACATTTTCTTATTTTAAAGCATCAAAGTTTAAAACCATAAAAAAATGAAAAATTAAGAGAAATTCTACTTTTAAATTAAAAAAATTAAACACAACCGGATGAAAGTCTTTCAAAATCTCCAATTTTAAAGTTCGTCACCAAACAAAAGAAGAATAGAAATTTCTTTTTCTTGTTCAATTTCTATGCAAATATCTACATAGTTTCAAACATGTCTTTCGATAATCTCATCAAACTTTTCTCTTCTATTTGTTACAGCGTTGTGGAACGAGAACTCAATGTTCCACTTCCAATTTCAAAGATCATCAAAAAGTGGAATAATTTATTGCAAGAGTACAAGGTGAGTGAAGAGTTTCTTTCTGATTGGATCGTAGCGATAAATCTTAAACACAGATGATGGCTCAATTGTTCCAAAAACTCAATTTTATTACGTTTACTTTATCTTACGCAAGTGTTTATTAAGAAAAAGCTTTTCGATTAATTAATGATTTGATGAGTTTCTTTATGCATCAAGATTTATCGTGCCATAATTCATAAAATGCTTGTTATAATGGGCCACATATATAAATGTTCGAAATAAAACTGACGACCAGTTTCACTTACTAGAATAACATGAGCAAACGTGTGTACATTTTAAAACCCAACTAAGGTCTAAAGAGAAACGATTAATTAACTTCTTCGAAAATAGAGAAAAGTTTCTTCTTTAAAGAAACTTTAAATTTCAGCGAAAAAAAAATTTAGAACACTATACAGTTAACCTTACTGCCTTTTTCTGAGACTCGTCTTATAAACGCTCTTTTCTTTATTCACGAAAACGAAAATTAAAAGAAATTTCTTAAAAAGAAATTTAAGCATGCACATGGAGCTGAAGCAAAACAACAGAAAGCGACGAAAAGATTTCAAAAAGAAATGTAAAGAAAGAACCCGAAATGAAGCCAACAAAAACCGTGCTTCTTTCGTCCCAGAACTTGTGCTGATTAAAAATCTCGTTTTCATTTTATATTTTGGTTTGATATGTATGTAGGATATTGGAGGGCTTTAACAGTTATGCATCGCTTAAAGCAAAAGCATTTTTTTCCAACCTGTTGTAGCATGATTAAAATTAGTTCAGAAAAATCCGAGTGAAAATACAATTTTTGGACTTTAAGCTTATTTGAATAAATGCGTCAATCATAAGAAATATGAGACACTTGTAACTGCTAACTCGTACGCACGGTGATTATATGATGCCGGAGTTGCACAATAGAAAGGTTGATTGTGGTACTTTTCTGAAATTGTGAAAATGCTAATAGCGCAACAGGCATAAATTAGAAATCTAACGAAACGTCTTTCTGCTCTTGCTCCCTCCCAGCGCCTCCCCCTCTACTCTTCTCCATACGAAAATAAAAAAAAATCCAATTTCAGGTTTTCTAATTTTTAATGTATTGTCCAAATATATGCGACTTCAACCGCGTCCGAAAAAAATGCTGATTTGTATAGAAAATGGGCATCAACCCGAGGCCACTCGTAAGAAATAAACACACATAGAAGAAAAGCATCAAAGAGAAAAAAAATGCTTCAACGACGTGAAGAAAGAGCTTTTAAAGTTTTGTTGATAAAGAGGAGAAGAGAAAAAAATGTTTTCTTTCAAATAACAGCACATAAGATGTAAAATTTCTAAAAATTCATTACGTAAAGGTTGACCAAAATGAGATTTTTTTTTTAAATTTCGAAATCACTTTTAAGATTGAGGAGAAATTTGTTTGTGATGTAACAATTTATTCTTCATTTTGATTTGAGATTAACACTAACGTGATAAAGGATTTTTTTGTCAATGCACTTGGAAAGAGTTGTTGTTTGTTTTGACGAGGTCTTCTTAACACCTAACACTTGTATTGTCCCCAACTTCTTCTATACATTCCAAATCTAAAGCCAAAACTGATTTTTGTGCTGCGAATGAGAAGAAGAAATGAAACAACATTAATATTTTTGTGAACAATTTGAGACACACAAAAAATCATTCCAAATGAAACAAGCCTCGCGAGATTCAAGTTAAGAAATCTCTAGTGTATAAAGAAGGCTTTTTTAGGTCAACGAGAAGTAAGAAAACTTTTTTTTAAGTTTTCTTAAAGAAAAGCTGCTTTTGATTCTTGTACTTCTCTTTTTTTGGACTTTTTCTTCTTTACAAATAAACATTTTCGATTCATTACTCGCGGATCTGTTCTTGATATCGTGCTGGTCCACTTTCACATAGGAATTTTTTAAAAAGTATTTTTCTCATCGTCTTTTTTTTTGTCGTCGTTGTAAGACGAAACGGAACTAAAGTATACAACCAAAGAATTTCCTTTCTAAAGTTGAATCGTTAATGTTGTGGAATTTCTTTTGAAAGCTGCAGAGAATAGAGATGACTTTTTGAATATTAAACTTAAAATGTTTAGTCAAGGACTTTGGACAACCCCGAAGGCTATTAAAAAGAATATATCTTTTGTCAACATTATTCGCTTAACAAACACGCGCTCAAATCGTTTTCTTCATCATCAATGATTCTCGGAGAAGCCTAGGTCAGTTCTCAAGGATTTACGTTCTCGCAATCTCATCAATATTTAAGTAAATAATTTTTTATATATTTTTTTCTCTTTAACTTTGTGGTTGATGACTCAAGAACTGCAATTCAAGAACATTCAAAATAAAAAGTTAATTTCTTCCATGACCTCAATCAACGATCCATTATGGCAATAAAAATTCTTCATCTCTTTTGTCATCGAATCCACAAGATTTTTCCAGCTTTACCAAAAAGGTAAAAGATCATAAATTTTAGAATTCAACGTGTTTGATAATCATCATTTCATGTAGGTGCGTCTTCGCGTCCCAATTACAACGATGCATATTTATTTTCGTTTTTTTTTAATATCCATGAAACACGATGAGTGCTTAAGGTTTTAGTGCTTAAGATGGTGGCCACTCTGGAGCTAAAGAAATTCCATTTTCGATGCTATAAAGTTTCGTTTTTATTCAAGATCCTGTTCAAAGATTTCTTTCTTGCATATTACTCAGATCCATTGTTTCAAAGCATACATTAACATACACACAAGAAACAAAGTCTTCTTGATCAATAGACGAAAACAGTGATATGAATAAAAGTTTCTTCCATAAGTAATGCCTACGACAAGCCATTAAATGTAAGAAGAGAAATTTTCTACAATTTTTTTTCTTCTTTCGTTTCTTACACCAACACTAAGCTCAAGAAATTGTATAAAGCTGAATAGAAAATACTCAACATTCCGTTTTTTTCCTTCATGTTTCACTAAAAATCTAAGTAAAGTAACTGATGTCCATTGTCTTCTCATGCAGTTAGATTTAAACCAAATGACATTTTATATTAAGAATTATCGTGACAATTTGTGGTTGTTTTGATTTTTTAATATATTCTCGCGCAATCAACAATCATTTTCATGCCAAAATCATCACGGACTTAAAAAGAGAGTAAAGAAAAAGCAAATGAAAAATCTCTTTTAGTAGAATATAAACGATTGTAATTTCACCTGATCGCGCCTTTATTATTGAAAAAAAAATTCATTATTTTATCTCTTTTTCCTTCGCTCTTTCGTATTTTTTAACTTTATATTTGTCTTTGGAGTTGTGTGCATGTGTCGAAAATCGTTAGGCAGCGAGAGCAAGCCATTGTTATTTTGTTTTTCTTCTTTCATTTCTTCTTACATTGCTTTTTGGCTTATGACCTTGTTTCTGTGCTCGGCTGTTAAAGCTCCAACAGGTTCTGTAGTATTTTTTCACTCTTCGCTTCTTTTTGTTTCGCTTTTTCTTTTACAACTTTTTACGATTCGGTTTTTTTTGTTTACTTCTTCTTCTGTCCGCGCACACTCTTGATTTTTTTTCAACTTCATTCAAACGTGAGACTCTTGACGTTGCTTTTTGATGCTACGAGACAAGAAAACCCGCGCAAAAACAAATGCATTTGAATGATTTTATGAATAATATTGCTTCTAGCAATTGTGTGTGTGTGTGTGTTTGTTGAGAATATAATGAAGAATAATTAAATATTTAAAACTTTTTATGAGAATTGTTAAGAAGAACAACTTTTTAATTAAGCTGAGAATAATTCTTGGAAAATGCATTAATATCAGAAACATTTTGATTGAAAGAGAATTTAACATAATAAAATCACCTGAGTTGTTGAAAGGTGTAATCTGCAACCTTTTCATTACTGTTCGCTTTCATAATTTTTTTTATTGTAAGAGAAATCTTTCGAGAGTTAAAATGATGATATTATCAATGTTAGGTGAGAAATCACTTCTTAAGTTTTTGTCATTGCAATGAATCATACATGAAAGTATCCGGATCTATTAAGAAGCGAATTTTATGTGATTTAATATCAACAACACGCTACAAAGATTAAATATAATTACAAAATGAAAGAAAAAGTGTTCTTCAAATTCTCTTTTGCCGATAATAAATTTATGAGCGACATATACACCGGTTTTTCAACTAAAGATTTACATCTTTAAGTATAAAATGAAATCTTGAGAGCTTTGTCCATCGTAATAAACTCAACAATGCTCTTACGATTTTTGTGAGACCATGATATTTTTCTAACTGCCTAGCTTGAGAAACTTTCAACACACGTCCTTGTGGCTTAAGATTATTTCCATTTTCAGCTTCGCCTGTATGTTAATCAGCATTCATAAGGTGAAAAAATTCTTCATAACGCATTGAAATCTTTCAACAAAGGTGTTGAGCTATATTAGATATTCATGCTGTTACGTTGACTCAACATATCTCCATTTCTCAAGCACACGACAACATAAACGTTGATTACTACTCAGTTTTTACTTTAGATTAAATAATAGTAAAATATTTGTTTCTCTCGTTTGGTTCATCTAAAACTTATAAAATCTTTCATGTCATGCCATTCGTATTTCTCAGTTTTTAATTGTGTTCGTATTAAATTTCTTGTATTTAGAGCTTGTCGAACATTTCATCAGTAAAACCTTTCTGTCAACTTAGATTTACATCGATAAAAGAGTCCGATTATGCATGCATTTAAGATTGATTGCTTAGAGCCTCGTATGTCCACCCGAAATTTTTCATGGAAGTTTAACATGAAAAAGGTGAAGGAACATTTGCTATTGCAAGTGATTTTCAGCATCTGTCGCTATGCTACGCCTGTTTTAAGTAAAAGAAAGAAACCAAATTCCAATTGCCCGATCTTAATGACACTTAATAAGCCTCTAAGCCATCGGGGCAAGTTGAATTGTTGAAATCAAACATTATATGAATGGTTTTAATATTCATTCGCATATGAAAACAAGCAGAAATCGAGAGGAGGCGCAAGCAACGAAGAAGAAAAAAAATTCATTTCGAATTCGTTTACGAATATGAGCTGAGTGAAAATATTAAAAAAGAACTTTCTATTTTTGCTTTTAATAAAAGTCAAGTCTCGCATGTGTTAGTGCTGTTTCAAGATAATGATACTTAAATCTACCTGCAAGCTTTCTGATCACGAGATGATGTAAGGCCTCTGACCATCATCTTCTTTGTGTTGCCTGCGCCTTAGAAACTCTGACAACTCTTGAAATCGAATATGAAATTTCTTTATACGGTTATAGCATTGCGTATATTGGGAAGAAGATAAATAGCTAGTTGTTGTCTTTTGTGCTAAGCGGGTACATGAGATGGTTATTAAGTTCAATGGATTTCCATTCGTGCGACTGATCCGTGTGTACACGAGGAGACTTTTTCTCTGATTTCAAGCATTTACACATATTACTTCTCACTCTTCTTTGCTCACCATCATCCCATTTGTTACGACGCAAATAAAAGAAACAATAAATAAAAATATGAAAGTTTTCTTTTCTTCAATATAATTTTTTTTCGGAACGAAACGTCTTGTTGATTCAACTTTAAAGATCAAACGATGATTGTGAAAAATATGCTGAATATTTTCATAAATTTCTCTAGAAATTCTTAATGAGTTGGTTAGGGTTTTATGACTTATGATGATGATCGTGCGAAGGAAAAGCGGAAGTATCTTAACCAGGGATATTTCATACAAATATGGTTTGAATTTCCTTTAACACGAATGCTGCACAACAACCTTGACATTAAGTGCAAGAAAAACTGTGTCACATTTTTCACTTTAAAATTGCTTGATTTAATTCAATATTTGCCACTCTTGGACTTCGTTTTCTTTCCTTCACAGCGTGAGTCTTTTTTCGTATACGATTAGCGTCTTACAGAAAAAAAAAATTATAAAAAACTTTCTATTTTTCTTTTCAATTTAAACAAATTAGCTATTCAAAGAGAAACCCGCAGCAGTTTTTTTTTCTTTTATTCCACAAGTTTTTTTAACTCCGCTTAGCACTTTAGATAGCTTGGAGCATTATATAAATCATTTCTGCCTTTTCTAACGAGCTTTTCTAAATACGAACAAGCAAAGCTTGTACGAAAAGTGACGGAGAAGCGACGAAGTGAACGTATTTTGGTGCAAAGAATTTAATGAAGCGATTCAGCGATCGCCCAAAAAAACTTCTTTGTTGCATGAGAAAAGAAAAGAACTTAATAACGAACCAACTGTTAAGCAAAACTCAGTCAAGGCAAGCTCGACACAAACGACACAGTTAAAGCAGAATCGATGATAAAGAATGGGGAAAGCGAAAGAAGACTTAATGTAGGCAAAAAGAATTTCTAAACGCTTTATGTTCTTACTGTTATATGATCTTCAAAGAAAAGTAAGAAAATGGGTTAAAAGAAGAAAAAAAAGCGAGTTAACAGTTACGAAACTTTTTTCCATTTCTTTTCGAAAAAAAAGTTTAATTCTTCTTTCTTTTTGATTCTCCGAATTTTTTTATTACATTTTTTCAATATGTTCTGTTTCGACAATCAAAATAAAATGTTCTCGTTCTGTTTTTGAATATTTGAGAATAAGACAAAATCAGAAAGAATATTTAAATAAAGTAGACATTCCGTTTTCAAACGGTCATTAGAATATATCCCCGGTTGAATTGGAGAAATATTTAAAACATTCCAACACCTGAAGAATTTTATTTGCCTTTAATCGAATGCTGTTTTGTGCTTTTAACTTAATTTGTTCCCTTAAGTAATTTAAGTAAATGGTAAACCTTTTTCAAGTTTCATTTCTCCTGACATCACTTACGTATATGTTGAGCATAAACTGAATCAATTACATTATCATTCGTTCTCTTTATTTTATTGATGGATTAACTTAAACCGTATTCTACGAAATAAGAACATGAGTAGAGGAGATTAATTGAATTGTAGATCAGCTGTTGGAAACAGTTAGTTCATCGTCATCATCAGTTCATGGGCATAGTCTCAGCTTTCAGACGTTTCACACCCAACCTGATATTAAAATTATCAAATCCTTTCTTTGTCTATTTAAATGAATGAAACTTTCAACATGTTGAAATCTGATTGAATGAACAGTTAGTTAATCACGTGTTGAATCATTTTCTATATAGGAACTAGAATATTTTTGAACTAATGAATATCTAATGAGATTGTTTCTATCTAGAAAAATATTTAGAACTTGTTCTTCTTTTTGAAAAGTTGTTTAGAAATCTGAAATATTCTGACCTTCAACATTTCATGACAAGAAACTTTCATACAATCTGATTGAAAAGAACTAACGGAACCATAGCATTAACAAAAAATAAAAATAAAAAATTTAAGCACACACAAACGAGTTCTTCTGCATATATGATGTCTCATTTAGGGCTTTTTCTAAAGAAACATAAGAACCAACTCATCATAAGATCAAAGATCATCAAAGATCTTTTTGTCTCTAGGTGGAATGAAGTCACTGGCGGATTTAAAGCGTGACCATTTAATGCGTCACTCAATCAGAACAAAAGAAGAGAAATGCTTTCATCCACTGTTAAGCATTGCAAACAAAAAGAAATCCGTTGAACGGTCTACAAAAATAAATTAAATGCTCAAACTCAAATAAGAACAACTAAATAAAATTAGTTTCTTTATAATCAGAATTCTTAATGTGCAATAAACAAGAAAATAAGCGATAATAGAAAAAAAAGAAAATAATCTTTGGCTAACAGTAACAATTTTTGGAAATTATCTTTGAGATTTATACTTGAATGTTTATCATCCAGTGAGCTGAATTTATAATAGATTACAGTTCGTGTTTAAGAAATTGTGCAATGTACTCATAACAGAACATATTTATTTAAACGCTATTCTTTTATTCTTGCTCTACAGGCGATTAAATTATCAGAAGAACCGAAACGCCGTGAATGGCCGTTTTTCACTTTAATGGACGTTTATTTCAGTGATCAAGTTAATGATCCTTCATTGCGTTTATTCTCATCCACAAAGCGCTTTGACACGGACACATTTGATGACAAAAATTTCGATGAAGAATTGCAAGCTGTGTTAGCAGCTGCAAACATCAATGCTTCAATGTCTTCCGTCTTGTCAAATCTTGGTCTTGGCATTGGTTTAGGTAACCGAATGAATTGCTTAAAACGTGACTCGGTAATGCCACCTAGCAATCCTGCCAACATGATCGACATGGATATGATTGACGATAAGCATGATGAGGATGATGATACAAAATCGGAAGTTTCCATTAATTTGAGCACCAAACTGCTGAGTAACATGAACAGCAACAATCACAACACAAATGATAAAAATAACAACAAAAGTCATCTTCAAAGTCTCAATAATAATAACAAAAGTAATGAAAGCATCGTGGAGAAAGATGGAAGCATGATAGAAACCAACAATAACACGATGAACACCAATCGAAATTTGATGGGTAGCAACAGCAGTTTCAGCGCAAATAGTGAAGCGAGTTTAAACACCAGTCGAATTAGCGCAAATAGTCACGCGAGTAATAACAACAACAACAACAGCAGCAGCAACAACATCAATAACAACAATGATGATGACTATGAGGACAACATGGTCAGAGCTTACGAGCGAAATTTGAAAAATTTAAATCAAAAGTTTTTGCATGAAATGAATGAACATCACAACATTGATCAGTATCTTTTATCATGGCGTGGATTCCATGGAAACATGTGTAAAGGATTTCATAATCTACAACGTGATGGACAAATGGTTGATGTAACCATTGCAGCGGGTGGAAAAATTTTCAAAGCTCACAAATTGGTAAAAACATTAATTGGGGCAGAAAACATAAATTTTGACAAAAGGAAATATTTTAATGGCAGAATTCTATAGCGACACCCCGTACGAAGTTTGAAACTTTAATTAATCTTTCATTTTCCTTTGAATAAATCTTTAGGTTCTATCAGTGTGCAGTCCGTACTTCCAGAAGATCTTCATTGAACATCCATCAACACATCCCATCCTGTTTATGACAGATGTCAACAGCAATCACATGGCTGGATTACTGGACTTTATGTACAGTGGACAGGTAGATAGAGCGCTTAAAAAAAGATTTCTCCATATTTTCTTTTATAAGACTTTCATTTTAATTTCTTTACTTCGTCTTTAACTTCTTTTCTTTATCTGCTTTTTTCTTCTTTTTGAAATCTAGGTCAATGTAAAGTATGAAGATCTTCCGAATTTTTTGAAAGTTGCTGAAGCGCTACAAGTCAAGGGGCTCCATGGAGAGGTAATAAGTCGATGTGTTAACAATTTTACGAGTGAAATTCTTAAATTTCTAATTTCTTTTTATTTTCTTCTTTCAAATCTGTTGCAGAGCACAACAGACAACGAGGAACGGGAGCGTGAAAGGGAACGAGAAGAGAACAACTATGCCTCACAATACCGTCAACAGCAACAACAGCAAGCTTTACAACTTCAACAACAGCAGCAACAGTTTAATTATCCGGGCCATATGAGACAACCAACACCAAGTCATTTTCAACATCCCGATAATATAATTAATGAAAATCGTCAGAATATCAGACATCATATAAAACCCAAACCCTCCCTCATCAATAATAATCCAGACACAACAAGCTTAAACATGAATAACAACAACATAAATATCACAAACAATAACCATAAGCCATCAAAGTTTGGTGTTCAGCAGGTCAATTCAAGTAACAAAATGTTGGACAATCAAAAATATCAAAAATATTTTTCAAAACGGAAATTGGTGGCACAATATGAACAGGAAATGCGGCAGGAAAAACGGAACAAACTCACAGGCGAAAGTATAGATGAAGATGAAGACAGCAGCAATCGGCCGTTGAACATGAGACGTTCACAATCAACAACTGAAGATGATGCTCGCCCTGATAATGGAAAAAGTGTTGGACTTAACTTGATACAAAATATAAAAACCGAGAAAGGAGATGACGAACACACGGATGTGAATGGTAATGAAGAACATGGCAGTGAAACGGTCGGATTTTATGGAACAAATTTGGGCAAAATAAAACATTCCATTCTTGAACCCAACATAGTATTACAGCATAGCGATGAAGTGCTATCGCCAACAAATGGGAATAACTCTATAGCTAACACATTACAAAATTCAAATTTGAGTCAGAAAACAGCTAGCTAAACAACATTTTCTGTATTTCTGCTTAACGTTACCTCAGTGGGCTATGAAAAGCTCAGTTGAGCAAAGAAAGCTTTTTCAACTGAGCTTTTGAATGCGCGACTTGTATATAAACTCACATGAAAGAATTATAAATTCAAATAGATAGAATAATTTTATATAAGCACAAGGATTAACTCAACAATAGTCAATCACAAACTATTGCTAACAATTGTTTTGTTTCGTTATTTCTATTTCAATTTTAAAAAATTAGAAAAAATTTTAGTTAAAATTGCTGAAAAAGATGCTTTGCACAAAATTTAAAGATTTTTTTTTGTTTTTGATTTATCTTACATTTAAATTTAAGTATAAAAATATTATCTTAAAAAATGTGTTTATTAATGTGAGAAATGTTGTTAACTATATTTTTGTTGATTGTTAATTTCATTAAATGAAATATAAAAAAATAGTTTGATAGTTAGCATGAATGAGAATAATTATTTATTATAGCAAAAGTAAAGTAATTAGATTAAGAAAGATGTAAACATACAAAAAAATGGAGAAATTTTTTAACCGTCTAAATTTTAAGTGTTAAATATAAATGTAAGCGAATTGATGTTGTACCATAGCGGTTAAATTTTTGTTTATTTTTTTTTAATATTTTAACATTAGGTTTCAAGGATTTTCCCTTTTAACTTCCTGGTGGGGCTCAAAACTTTAAGGTTTTAGACTAATTTTATGTCTACGTATATTTTTTGATGAAAGCACAAAAATCTAAGGTCAAGAATTGAAAGAATGTTGAAAACTTTTGGATTATTAACTCACATGTGTTGAAGAACATTTAACCACTCAGGTTTAGTTTTGTTTTTGTTTTAAAAATGGAATATTTTACTGATTCTGTTGCTACTGAAATCATCAATTATTTTATGAATGTCTGCTTATCAGTGTTCCATAGAGCTTGGATGCGGGTTTTCGGTTAAACTTAATTAAAATTTTGTTTTGTTTTGCTTTTTTTATTATTTACTCATTAAAGAAATTTTGTTTGTTTTTCTTCTATTTTTATGGTGCTTTGATTCTTAGCAAAAAAAATAATATTTAAGTTTATTTATTCTTTTAAATGCTATTTCTTTTGTATTTGTTCATTAATTTCATAAAATTACTTAAATTGTTTTCCAAATTTATTACTTTTTTCTTAAACAAATCATCGGAATTATAAAAAAAATAATCTATTAGATGAAATTCTCTTTCTCTAAGTAAATTCTCGTAATTTTGTAACATTATAGAGAAATACATGTAAACAAATATCAGAAATTTTAATAAAATATATTATTTTCACTTAAAAACAAAAGCCGTTTCAAATGAAATAAATCACTCAAAATCCTATCGTCTATAAAAATTATGTTTATGCTGCATACATCATTTCTGAGCTTTCCGTTTTTCATGTTCTTTCCAGTCTTTCAAAGCTGAGCTTTTGAAAGCTCAAAAGCTCTCATCACACTGGAAAGTGTTTACTCTCTCGATTTTTTTCTTAATGGAAGTAAAGAGAGAGATGAGAAAGAAAAGCTTACATTGAAAAGTTTCTTAAGTTGCAAGCCGGAAAAATATCAACAGTTCATTTCAAGCTTTTAACGAATCTTATCACAAGTTAAAGTGTAGAGAGGGAAAAAAGAATGTAGATTAAATTTAGACATTAGTAGAAGAAATTGATACATAGAAAGCTTTGAACCATCACATTTTATTGGATAGGAAAAGAAATTGATATCATGAAATATTCTTTCATGTTTTTGTGGATCTTTTTCAAAGGTTAACTGTCTCATTTGCATTAATTATTTATTCTTAAAATCATGTGCATTTAGCAAAAAAATACTTTAAAACCTGAAAATATTTACAAACAAAGGCTTAAAAATATACAATGAATATAGATAAGTAGAAAAATAATAAGAAAAGGAGAAAATTTAAATGAATTTAAATTTATCCGTATAAAAATATTTTGAAAGGATGTTACGTATTTATTTTTATGTGAAAGCAAATTTCTCAATGATTCTTTTCTTTTGAAAATTAGTAAAAGAAATTGCTTCGGGTGATATTATTTGTGGTCGAGCTGATAAGCTTTTTGATGAGTGTTTTTCTAACGAAAGAAGCAACTCTTCCATAAAAGCAGTTTTGAAGCAGTACAATAATATTCCTTACAATAAAGAAGACATTCAACAATATTGCCAGTAAATATTTGTAATTTAATGAACTACTTAACAACACTCATTAAAATCTGTTTTAAAATAAGGACTTTCAATCAAGGGATTCGTTGCTATAATGAATATGCGGAAAAATGCATAAGCGATCCTATTAACAGAAGATTAATTGAAGGTGAAATAATGCCAGCAAGAAGTTTTTATGAAATGCTGTGCAAGGATAATGTTTTCAAAAAGGATTATTTGAAGCACAGGAATTGCTTTCGCTACATAGAAAAGGTGAGAAAAAATTAATTAAATGAATTCCGTCTAAAAGTTTTTCATCTTCAAAAAAGTGATTGCGTTGACGCAACAATTTCAAACCCATTGTAGACGCAACAATGGGATGAAATGATTACAAAACATTTTAAAAAATTCTGAGATGTTTTATTTGTGAAAAAACATTGTGAAAAAACAGAAAATTATGTTGCTATGAAAAATAACCTCTAACCAAAAATAACTCAGCTTTGAATTGATTGAAAACCAATTTTTAAAAGGAATTTTGATGTCATTACAAAAAGGAAAACACAAAATGATAAGTCATATTATTTTTAAATTCTGTTTACATAGGAATGGAATTTTTGCACTCAAACCTTTCATTCTTTGCTCGATAAAGAATTCACGAGAGTTCATAGGGAGAGAAAGAGTAATATAGGCACACAATATATGCAATTTTGCTGGTAAGTTGACATAGGGGAATTTATCGTAAAACTTATTTTGATAGAAAACTTAATAAAATTTTTCAGTGCTAGATACGCCTACGAAAATTGTGTTGGAAATAGCGCAAAAGCTAAATGTAAGCCTGAATCAGCCATATTTACAAGAAGTTTGGTGGAACTACTGTCGAGTGAACGCCAATTTAAAAATTGTGCAAAAATAGAAAATGCACTTTGTAACAGTTCAGATTTAAGTAAAACAACTTTTTCCTGCTTTCTTGTTTCATTATTTTTTGCCCTGAAATATATTTCGCTGTAATCAATTATAAACTTCATAACTACAAGTTTTTTTTGCAGAATATTTCATAACTGAAACACTTTTTATTCATGACAATAGAAATGTTTAAGGATTCAAAAATAAGAAAAATAGATGAGAAACATAAAATACTAACCTAAGATACTTATAGAAGACGTTATACAAAAGTTCAAGCATAATTCATAGTTAAAAGGTAACTCATCAAGTTATGCAACTTAACTTACAATTTATTTTTTCAAAAAACGCTTGTATTGCTATTCGTTGCAAGAAATAAATTTCAAAACAAAATTCATATGCTGTAAATATAAATAAGCTTTTATTATCATAAGTATGATGAATCTGAAAGATAAGAACTTTTAATTGCTGGTTTATATTAATCCTTCTCAAATATATAATGCTAGGAAATTTGCAGTATTAGATAAAAAAAATTTTTAACACACAAATCTCATCGAAGGGTTTTATTTATCATAATAAGGCAAAAAAATATTCAAAGAACTTGGTGGGTACTGAACGAGTGTTTCTAAAATTAACACAGACTTTTGCTAATGAAATGTTTTGATGCAATCTGAATTAAGCTTCATTTTCTTTTCAGATTAAACAAAAAAAACAAGAAACGTGATCAGTTAACAACAAGCTTAATTTTATATTTTTATTAAATTTAATAAACAAGATGGCATTTCAAGTTCCCTGAAAGTCTTTTTTAATATAAACAATGAAAGAATAATATCTTCGGGAAAAGAATTTTGCTTAAGACACGCTTTTAGTACAGTGAACTCTCGTTATAACATTTCTCTCGTTACAACATTCATTTCGAAAATAATTTCGAACGAAATCTCGAACAAAATTTTCTCGTTACAACATTTCTCTCGTTATAAGACCTAATGCTGTCAGTCCCTTCGAAAATGTTATAAGGAGAGTTCACTGTATTTTTAAACTTTTAATTAAATTTTTCGTTGAAGAGTTAAAGTTTTGATTAAATAAGCATGTAAACGATTTAATTCAATACAAACATTAATAAGATTTTTTCGTTTTTTTTTTATTAAAGCTCCTTTTCGCAATAAATAACAGAAACTTTGACATGATTACATTTTATCTGAACATTTTTCGACTTAAAATATTTAACTTAAGCTCCAAGTAAATTTAAGTCTTTTAGACTAAATTTCTTAGATTCCTCGAGTAATTTAATTACCCATAAATAAGGTTCAAATTATATTTTATGAACAAAATAAACAGCAGGAGAATTTTCGTATTTCTTAAGAATGTTGTTTTGTTAATGTTTGGGTTACTTTTGGATAAAAAATAATTAAAGGAACACCACAAAATAATTCAGACTTATTGTTCAAACGATTTTCTTTCTTTCTAATCTCATCTTGAAAAAGTTCAAAGAAAAATTTTTTTCGGTTAATTCAATACTGGCTTGATAAATCTTATCAAAATCTTACGATGGCTGTAAGTATAAATAACCGCTACAAAGATGTTTAACCACGATATTAATTACAATTTTCTTTAGACATTGTAAAGAGTTTAGCGAACATTTTTTAATAATAATTTCGTGTAAAATTTATGCTAAGTGTTTTCGACTTAATATTTTCATATATTTTTAACAATGTTTCTCATGATTGATTGTGATTTATCAATAGCTATTTATTTTGATTATTAATTAATATGCTCAATGATTCTCTGATAACACACATTATTGATTTGTAAACGAAATTTATTAATATTGCACTATTTGAAAATTCTAACGCTTTGTTTACTTCTAAAAAGAAAAAAAATTATCGCTTGACAGATATCTAAGAAGTAAGATTAAGTGGTTTTAATGTGAGACAGCTTAACACTTTTATTTACATTTGCTTTCATGTTCATGTAAATTAATCTTTGAATGAGAATTAAAATTAAGTGAGTGAAATTAATTTAGAGAAATAAAAAAGTTCCAGGAACCAAGTAGAAGAATGTCAAAAATGTCATAGTTTATCGAGCTTTTTTTTCAGTAATGTTTATTAGTATCAACCCGACAAGTCTTTATGACAAATTATTTTTGTCATAATTAAATTGAGATTTAATTCTTCAATTTTCTTCTACGAGATCTGTAATTAAATCATAAAATGAAGATGAATATTAATTACATTTAACTTTAATAAATTTCTTTATTGTTATTGAACAGGTTAAATATGTAACAGCAAAATGTGTTTAATTGCATTTCCTTCCTGCTTTTACTCTGCAGATTAATTATTTTATGCTTAATTATTTCAGATATCTACTGCAGGCTATTGTAACTATTAAATAAATTGCAACAAATAGAAGCTACCTAATAATTCGTAATGATTTCAACAAAGTTACGTGTTATTGATTCGATTTTTTTTTCTTTTGAGTCGCAGCTGCCCTTCAATTCACTTTAACTCCTAACTTTGAATTTCGTTGGCTTTTTGAGGCTGCTTTCCACTCCTGTTGGCGTTTGTAGATATGCGCAGGGCACCCATCCTTCCATGTCATCAGCTGTAATTCATTCCGTTAGAGAAAAAACCATAAATGAAAAAAAAAACATTCCAAAAAGAAAAGTTAAATAATTTAAGCACAGAAGGAAGAATTGTTCAAGCGTTAAATCTTTGGAATATAACACTGGACTTTCAAAAGCATCTTCGTGTGAACATAGTCGAGAATATAAATTACTTAAGGAGACATATTGAGAAATCTCAAGACAAAAGCAATGCTTTTAAATGATTTTTTTCGTTCTTCCGTACCCAACCGTTACGTACAATATTGCTACAAATTTTAATCTATAAATCAAAGAGACAGTAGAATAGCAAAAAGTAAGAGAAATTTCTACATAAGATTTTATAGTCGTAGAAGTAGAAGAAACTTTTTCTGGATTTTCGACAAATAATTTTAAAAGGTGCAAAGAAGGTAAGGAGAAAGTTGTGACAAGTGAAGGGACATTTACCTAATACTCTCACGAACCACCAACCTGCACATCCAACCTTCTTGAGTTCCACTACATCTCCTTCTTTCATCGACACTTCGGAATTCCCCATAGCACAATAGTCAGCAAGTGAAATAAACTTCGTACCCTGTGCAGACATATTTGCATGTTGAAGAAGTTGTCACATCACGATTTATATTTGGTTTAAAGTTTAGATTGAAAAAATGCCAGGACAAGAGAAGGTGCAGGAAGATAACAAGAGAATAAGAAAAAAAATACATCATAAACATTGAATAATTACATAACATTAAAATACAAAAATAAATTTCAACCATTTCACCATTTTCTGTTTAAATTCATTTTAATTTTATAATAAATTATTTCTTTGATTATGTACAAAATATAATCCTAGTGACTTAGCAAACATTTTTGATGCTTATAATCCTTTTGGGGAACATTATATAGTTCATTGAGCATTAATAAAAATAAAATAACTTTCAATGAACAAATAATTAAGTCTATCCTAAAGCACCATTTATGTATTAATAAAAAGCTTCCGTTATTTTCTTAGCAACTTTCTCAATTTCTTTTGAGAAAACTACTCTGCTTTAATTCGAACAAATAAGCTTAATTGATAAAATATTCTCCTTAACCAAACATTACTAAACATATAAATTTTATTAATGACAAATGGATTAAATAGAAAACAATCTGAAACTTTGACAATTTATGACACAAATTTAGGAATTTGTCATCAAAGCCTGAGATTGTCGTTTGCGTGTTACTTTATAATCAAATTTTTCAATTTCATGAGATCGAAATTTTTTTCTTTTTACAAATTTAATTTTGTGTCTTTAAAAATGGCTTGACAAAAGACAGCCTTAGATTTACTTAAGGTTTTAAATTTACAAACATAATTGTATCCTTAATCCCAAACAACATAAAAAACTGAAGATCCTTTATCTTTATTAACATTATCATCATCATAATTGTTATCACTACGTGAGCTTTCAATAGATGAAGTTGACACAACACTGTGACGATTGTCATTTCTATTATCAGCTTCATCTTCAATGATATTTTCATCATCTGTCTTTGTTACAACAATCGAACATGGGGAAAGGTTTTTGAACGTCGCTTCCATCGTTTCAAATTTCTTGATCTGTTTTTTGATATTCAAGTTATGCGTTTCAACAATTATTTGAGCTGAGTTTCTTGAATTTTCACCCTCGTTCTTTTGAAGTTTAAACGAATAAAAATAAAATCCAGAAATTTATCCCACAAAAAAAGGATCATTAATTATTTACACAAGTTGGTTATAAAAGATGAGATTTTATTTATGGTAGGTGCGTGAAACCAAGTCCGAAAAATTTATTGTGAGTTTGTTCGTGATAGGAACCAAAAATGATGCGGAAAATAGAAAAAAAAGAAAGGAAAAATAATTAATAAACAAAAATTGTTTCTAAATAATGAGTTGATTCAAACCGATACATGCAATGAAAAAAAGTTAAATAAATTTTGATGTAATTTATGCAGTCAGAAACTGATTCGAGTCCACGAATTATTCTTGCCTACTCGTTCGCTTAATTCTATAAATATGCAATCTAAACTTTTAATCATTGACATACCGGAATAGCATTTTCTTCCAAAATCGTGAATTCATCTTCACTATTTGAGTAATCTGAGCTCCAAGCGTTGGTTTCTTGGTTGTCATGTTCAGAAGACGACGCACTTATTCCAGTTGAATTCCAGGTTTGCGTCCCATCATCATTTGAAGTCGTTTCAATTCTTTTCAGGTCACTTGAATTGTCAACACTCATCGCTCTAGGTTGCGAAGATGTGGTCAAGGGAACATCGTAAGAAACTGAATTTGATTGCTTCAAAGGTCTGCGAAATATAAACAGAGAAGAAAAAACCAATTAAGTTCAGTCTGGCAGTTAATAAATTCACAAACACACCTGTGATTGGCATTTCCATATTGCTTAATTTTTTCATCTTTCAACTCCTCCAACTGATTCATTAAAACCTTTTTAATTTCCGTCACCCACTTTCCTTTAATTTCAACCGTTGCCGCTTGAAACGTGTGAACTTCAGCACGACCTTGAAGCCAAACCTCAAAACGCCTCGGATCGCCTCGAACAGATTCTGTTAATCCAATTTGCGACATCTACATCATAGCATGATAAATTTATTATAGTGATTTTATTAAACATTCAGTTTATGTTTACCTTAAGCCAATGTTTGAACTGATAAGTTGATTTGTTATGTCCAGTTTTCGTGTCTTGCTTACAAAATAGCATCGCTTTTTGATAAAGAAAAACATGTCGCTGTTGTGGTTTTAATCTCAATCTCAAATCTTTCTTGCTTTCCGTCCATACTTGAAATGAATCTTGAAGCAACAAATCGCCTTGCTGAGATAGGTCAGCCTGTTTTATATTTTAAAATAGAACCGACAAATGAAATTTACATGCAGAAAAATTCTTTTTTTATATAAATTACCGGAAATCCTGTTATAGCAATTTGATGCATCGAATCGTTGACACATTTGAGAACGACCAACATACAGTCGAGTGCTTTCTGAAGTTCCTTGGTGCATGTTCCAGTGTCACTAAACTTCAGCAAATCTTTCAGCAACAGCTGGTACTTGGTGATTCTTTGTACAGGTTTAAGTAAATAAGCCGCAAGTGGAAGCTTGTGACCCAACTTCTTCTGGCATTCTTGCAAGAATAAATGAGTATCGACAAGTGTCTCTCGCAATCGCTCTGAGCGGGGAATGTTTTGACAATAGTACGAATACAAGCGGAAGAAAACATCACGCTGTGGAATAATATTGAATTAATGAATGAAATAGTTTCCTATGTTGAACTTCCTGTCGTCGTTGACTTTAAATAAGTTAAACTTACCCTTTGAACGAAACATAAAGCGACAAGTTCCGTCGTTGAAATGCAATTTTCCAAGTCTTTCAGAAATGTTTCACTGTGAAATGTGTAGAGCTCGTGAAGATTACCAAAGAGAATATCAGCATTGCCTTGTAAACCTGCTGGCACCATCGATGCCATATCTTCAGACATGAGCTTGTCACGATAGCCCTTTGAAAAGAAAAATTACACGTGAAATTAATTTAACATCAAATATTTATCTAACGGAAGTTGAAATAATTTCCGGTATGAAAGATTATCGATAACTTGCGTAATTACATTTTCGTGTATTCGACATTTCTCATTATATTTTCGATTATGATGTTTGAATGAAGTGCGCTGTTCGTAAGCATCTTCTCGAATACTTTCGTAAATGTTATCATCACATCGATTATTAATTTCATTTAATTTTCCTCCAAAATCATTTTGAGTTTTATGGGAATCACGTTTGATGCTTAAATCAATTTTTGATTTCGCACTTTTATTTCCCATCATAATTTCATCAAAGTCAATGTCATTTGCATGCATATCTTCAACAAATTTAAATAAAATTCGTTGAGAAGGTTCGTAAGCATTAACTGATGATGATGATGGTATTGTTTTAAAATAATCGACATCGATATATTCGTAATTCTTAAAGATATCATTGTCTGATGATTTTATGTTCATGTGACATGAAGTTTGATATCTTTTATAAAAATAACTTTCCGAGTCTTTATGAAATGATCCGCTTGAGTAAGGTGGTGGCATTGAATCGAATCTATTGTTTACATTGATTGAAGACTGTGTTGTTGTTCTTAACGTTGGCTTTGATATTACAAGTTGTTCATTGTGTTGATTCATTGAATCTTTCAGCTTTGTTTTTAATATTTTATCAAAGGATTTATCCAATATTCGACCATAATGATAATGAACATATGAATCAACTGTCGTAAACCCTTTGAGATGAACAAATTTTTTTATGATTTTGTTGTAATTCTTCTCGGAAAACCCCTTTCGGGCAAGTTTCTCCCATTTTTCGACTTTGATGTCAGTTGTCGTGTAGGTAGCTAAGGATCTCTGACAATTTCGAATTAATCTATCGTAACTTGTTATGGAGTTCTTTTTGAGGGGATATGTTTGATATTTGGAGAACTCTCTATAGCAGCAGTTAATGTCATGTTTACGTCTAGAAGAATTTTGAAGAACTTTTCTTTTGTCAAAGTCATTCAAAGCTTTCTTTGCGGGCAAAGTACTTGCATGATAAAAAGGTTGAGTTTTATGGTCGTATAATTCATCGATTAATGATTCTTCGACATCTTCTTTTATCCTCGTACGATATAAACTTCCATATGTTTGATATAAATCTGAAAATTCTTTTTGGAAGAAATCATTCGTGACTGTCTTCGTTGCTTCGTAGAAAATGTTTGTGTTTTTCTTGTAATAATCGTCAAATTCTTTATTTGATTTGCAGAAAAATTGTGAATTCTCTCGATTGTAATATTTCCTTGCATCAAGTGATTTTGGATGCTTTAAGATTTCGTCTTGCTTCTCCTGCTTTAAAGAATCACAATCGTTCGACTCTTTCGCAAGTTCCAGATCGAGATCGTAATAACGCTTCAAGACATCAGTAGCATCACCATAAATTGATGATTTATCACCTCGGAGTGATGATCCCATTAGACTTGCGCCACTGTAAATATAATCTATCGCATCTTGATAATTCTTCTTTTTCAAATAATTCTTAAAATCCGAATCTTTACAAATATCGGAATAGGACATTGAATCGAAATAATTTTTGAGTATTTCCATTTCTGCTTTTTCATCATATTTTGTTGTCTTTAAAAGTGTCGATAAATCCATTTCAATTTTTGGTTCAGTGTCGTCAAGTCGTGAGGATGAAAATTTGAATGACTTTTGCTTGATATTGCTTCGCATCGAATCAAAATCAATCGAATCATAGAGATTTGATTCATTTGAACATTTGTTGATTTTTATAGTAAAATAAACATTTTTTAACATTCTATGTTGACGTTTTCCCGAGATTGCGTTATTTATTTTTGAGAACTTCACTTTATCAAATACACAGAGTTCGTTAGGGGATTTTCTATTGTCAAAAAGGGAAGAACTGGGACGATGGAAATCAGAGGGAAGATATTTCTCGTTTCCGCATGAATCTAAAATGTTATCACTGTTTCGATATTTCCTCAATTTTTCACTAAGCTCACGGCATTTTTTCATTTGGGGTAAATGTTTGTGATCGTCAAACAATGAAGCTCTGTAAGATAAGGGAGAGTCTGTTGGCTTCAAAGCTTTCTTACGGCCAATATTCGAGTTGATATTTCGGAGCGTATTGATTTGGCTGTGAAATTTTCCAACAATATAATTCGATGTATTTTTCACTTTCTTTAGACGCGAGAAAAACAAATGATTGTGCCTTTCAGATGCCGTTGTAAAATTATAGTTTCCAAATTTCATTTTTTCTTTCTTTCTTTTAAACTACAACGTTTCACACTTTTTAATTGCTTCTCTTTTCTTTTCTTCACAGAAGAGATTAATTTCAAAAATAATTTTTATTGACGTTTGATTATGACTCTCTAGTCGCTACGAATTTCTTTGCCAGTAGTTTCATTGCTTCAATTAAATAGCATGAATAAAGCATCTTTTCTTTCTTAAAATCACTTTTTAATTGTTTTCGAGTGGCTCAGGTACTTATTCATCAACTACTGAATGTTTCCTTTCTTTCTTTTCAAATTCACCGAAACTTTTTTCTGCTTTTTTTTGCCATAAATCGTTTGATTTCATTTAAATGGGAAGCAATAATGTTTTCTTGCACATCCGATTATTGTGTAAAATGAAGAAGAATCGATTTCAAGACAACCATAAATTTGGGTCTTTCAGCGCATCCGATTTGCATAAAGCTGTGCAAAAAACCACTTAAGTGAGTTCTCAATAAGTCATATCTTTCTTCTTATTTCAATATTTTCTGATATCACTCGCTGTGTTTCCTAAAGCTGTTCATCGAAGCACTTTAAAACCAAAACTAAAGTTATTGTTTCATTTTTTTCTGAGTTAGGCAAAAAGATTTTCAATGCTTTTCAGCTCATACTTCGAACATTAATTACTAACTTTTAATACATACAACCACACCAATTCGAATTGGAAATGCACTGTTAATTTTCTTTTTCCCAAATTTTCTGCATCAATAATTTTACAATTGACTCGAATGTTCTTTATATCTAAACTTTACGGAGATTTCTTTAATGTGGTTTAACTTTTATTATCATAAGATTTTCCAAACGATTTGTGGTGTATTCGTTCGATTATGAACAACAGTTCGCAGGTTTATTCATCTTTAAATCTTCTTGAAGAAATGTTCAAAAAAACAAATGAAATTGTCAATTAATAAATTGATTGAGTTGGAATAATCAAACTGATCATTATAAATTTCACGCACATATTCGATTATTTTTCTTTTACTCAAGCCAATTCATTTCATTGAACATAAGTATTTCACACAGAATTCAACAAGATGTGCAAGTAATTAAAAGCGAGTAAAAAAGAAGAAATAGAGTAACAATTTTTCATTTAAAATATTGAAAGTTTAACGGTACTTCAAAGTGAGTAATCATGTGCATGGTAAATTGAAAATATTGCATAATTTTTTTCATGCTTTAATATGAAAAGTAAGTGAAGAACGTGTATTTAAATCAGGGTTTAGAACTAGTAAAAACTATTGCTTTCGTATGGAACTTATGTATGTCTGTTTAAAAATATCTTTAACCCTTGACTTAAAAGAGTTTTGACAATTTCTTTTACACTTCTTCGGTATTGCAGTCATTAAAAATAATTGTCAGAAGGTTTCTGCCAGCATCGTAATCATCATAATCATCATCATCATCATAATCGTGATATTTTGAAATGTCTCACTTTTTGAAAAAGTATCAATTACATTGAATCTATAACGAACTTCTAAACATACATATTTAGATTCTATCTTCTTATTCAAGTTAAAAGTTTTATCTTACCGTTAATATTGAGTTCATCTCGTTCACATATATCCTTTCTGTTTCAAGCAACTCTGCCAGCACATGTCCTCGTTTAAGTCGGTGTGATTCGATATCCTATGCAAAAATAAACAGAAAGTGTAACATGATAAAATTAACAAAGTTTAATGAAATATTTTTAATATGCTTGTTTGCCAATTGAAATTTCCTCACAAATGTGAGGTTGGAACCGTTCAAATACGCATGCGTAAACATAAACATTTGTAAGGTTCTATTGAACAACAAACACATTTAAATGGTTTTCGAATTGTAGTTGTAAATTTTCGGATCCGACTTACGGTTTGAGTTTGGGTTGCAAGAGATGAATTGTCACCGTCAGGACTAATATATTCACTGCTAACTGAGACACCCGAATCTGAGGGACCTTCACATGAGAGTGGTCTTGTAATGTAATTTTCCACCTGTCAAAATAAATAACATAAAATATTTATAAAACACATGAATAAATTTTTCCGAATTCATATCGAGATGCAAAATTCCTTTTCTCTTGATTTGAAAGAGTCTTGACGATAGAAAAGGTCAATTCTGAAACTTGTTTTGAAATGTTAACTCATCTTCCGAATTATTATGTAAATTGAATAATCCAAAATACAAAGTATCATTCAATTATTTAATTAATGATTGAATGAGTTCTGCATTAATTGATAATCAGCTTATAAGTAATTGAAAATCGCACGAAATTCATCACCCCATAAACTTATGTTAAACATTTCAATCATCTTTCATCGCCTTTGTTTTATTTCCCATTCGGTTGCATAAGATCAACGAGAAAATAAAAATTATTTTGACTTATTTCTTTGCAATTCACAGTAAGAGTGGACGGTAACAGACTTTCCCACCCATGATTGCGTACCGAAAGACAATGAATTGCGAAATCTCTCACATTAACATTAACGAATAGCTTCCTTAATAATTTCTAGCTACCTAGCAAGATGATGAAGTTTTTTTTACCTTATTTCGACAAATGCAAATATAATTGCTTAATAAGTCTTCTTTCGTCGTATGACATTTTGTGCAAGCATAAAGAGGTGAGTCAGCATCATTTTCAGTCGTCTTATTGTTATTGTTTTGTGTCACCAAATCATTTTCGTTTTCGATTTCATCTTCATCGAAGTAAGAGTTGTTCCAAAAAAGAGCTCCATCACAACCAAGTGGGTTTAACTTAACATTGCACATTTGACGGAATTTCTTAAACATTTCAGCAAACTCAGGCGATGATGAACGCCCCTGAGAGCTTGTGTCAAAATATCCGTAATCTTTTTCGGAATCCGATGATGATATTGACATAGTTGCACTTGGGGTTGGAGATGAGTTGTCATTTCCTAAAACATAAATCTTAACACTGTTTTCCTCATTTTTGATTTTGTTGTTTATGCCGATTTTATTATTAAATTTGGGTTGGGGATTATTTTTGACTTTGATGTTTTTATCCCAGTTTGAGACTTTATCGTTGCTGTTGCTATTCAATTCGATTATGTTTTTATTCTTTTCGTTATTGTTAATTTTAACTTCATTATTATGATTGACCACAAAGCAGTTATCATTGATTTTTATTGTGGTCTTGTTCTGATTACTTGTTTTTGATACAAGAGTTTCTTTCTCCTTGAAGCGATCAATAATAAATGCATCTTGATCATTTTGCGTGAAATTGCATTTGGTATCATTTACGAATATATTACTTTTACCATTAACACTAATATTCGATTTTATGACCGCACCATCATTATTCTTCATCATGGCATTCGAATTCTTACGCATATCTTCAAACTTTTTGATGAAGTTCTCGTCGAATCTCGTTCGTCTCGCATTTACAGGTGTTGATGCTGTTGATTTTTCTGAATTACTCGACACGGGACAGTCAGAAAACTTACAATTTTGAAAGCCACATGAAGACTTAGACGAAACTGGAAGCTTTTCAATGTTCAACTCTGTTGTCGTGCGATGATATTTCTTTAAATTATCTTTTGTCAAATTTCTCTCACTGTGACTGCCACAAGCAGAGCTTTCAGTTTTTTCTTTGTTCATTTGACGATGAATTTTATATTTATCGCGATCAAAATTCATTTTCGATCCAACCTGATGTGGTTTGGCATTAGCAAATAAAAGATTAATTCGATCGACATCTTGGCTTGTTCTCATGGAAAGATCGCCAATCGATTTTGAAACTGTGAATTTAAGTCCCGGCTTCAATCTACAATTACGTTGTTTGAGTGAAACTTCACTGCAAGTGCTAGCGCCGCTTGTGCTTCCATCACTTCTTGTTGTCCATGTTTGTCTAGGTTCGAGCTTCGATTCAAACATTTTCAACTTATTTTCAGTTTTGCTGTTATCTCGATACTCCCAACTGAGTGAATTCTCAAATCCATTCATCATATCCACATCAATTTCTTTTGGCTCAGGAGTTAAGTTTCGATTAAGTTTTCCATATAATTTATTGTCAACATATTTTTCATAACTTTTGTTATCAAAATAATATTGAATTGAGTCCAATTTGTTGTTACTCTTCTTACTATCAAATATCAAATATCGTTTCTTTCCTTCTTTCACTTTTGGCGGATCGGGAGTGCTGACCTTGGCAGGTTTCTTGTCATTTCCATTGACATATTGAAGTTTTTCTGGTGTGGCTTGAGTCGTTCCAAAAATAGAATGTTTCTTCTTATAAACCAAATACTTTGATGAGCTTTTTTCATTTGGATTTTTCTCCATGTTCATTGGCTCGCTGATTGTAACTTTGAGTGCAGATTTAGGGTTTTCAGGTTTAAGGCACTTGCACTTGACAGGAGGTGGCGGTGGGGCACATGAAGGCTTCACCGCTTTATGGACATAATCAATGGGAAGAAGTTTCATTTCCGGAATATCATTTTTTACCACATAATCAGAATAATCTTCATCGATGTAATCGCTATGTTCACTAGAATTGGTGCTAGGCTTACAGTTAACTCCAATCAATCGATTATTTTTAAGCTTTAAATTGTTATTGCTACTTTGAGTTCCCAGCATTTTGCTTTTTTTTTCTATCTTTAAATCGAAGATTCATTCAATCGAATAAATGGAGATTCTATAGAATTTATTGGAATAATCACTTAGCAGTTCATTGGTTGTATAATTCAATGTTCGTTACTTTTTGGGCTCTTTTATTGCACGAGTTATAAGAATCTGCTCTTTTTTTGGTTTCTGTTTCAGAGTTTCATAAAATTTACAGCAATTTTCACATCAAAATCTCATGTTTTATTAGTACGTGTAAAGTTTTTCCGTTTTAAATAATGTTTGTTCTTTTTCTCTTTTTGTATTGCACTGGAAATTTAAATGAGACGATAAAATATTTCATTTCTCATCATTTTTTTATATTTTATTTATGAAAATGCTAATTCATTAAATACATGTGAACACTCACAGGTCCATAATTATTATCATAAAACACATTGCCATGGGCATTTGCTTTTTCATTTCATTACACTTTTTTGTTAAATCCAATTAATAGAGCTTATTGTTGCAGTGTGAGCATGATTAAAGCTAAATAATTTCTCTGGTTCCAAGTGCTTTGTTATCGAATTAAACATCACACAAAAAAAAAGATTAAATTATATCATTTTCATCGCATTTGTGATAAACATCAATTCTCAGTGTAGTGGATATGAATCGCTTAAAATTTTCACTTTTATTCCAAGCACGTAGCACTTTTCTCTATTGTGACTTTAAGCGCGATATTATTTTTATTTTTTAATGCTTTTCATGCGATAAAATGGATGCGTGCGAAAAACTTTTTTTCCTTCAATCCCATTAATTTTCATCATGATTTTTCTTATTCCATCATAAATGTAAACTTTTCTTTCTTTGCGCTGTTTCAGATGATTAAATGTCGACAGGCAAAGTTTTGTTTTTTTTTACTTGTATGCACAGAATTTTTCAACTTGTCACGTTATCACAAATCCGTTTCATCAATTTCCGTTTTATTAAATTTTTTTTATCGTCTTGATCCAAATTTTTTAACAAAAAAACACTACAACGAGCCTGAACACTTCGTTTTCGATTTAAAAGCATCGAAAGTTTTTTTTTTTTCGTTAATCATCAAATAAATTCATTCCGTAAGCCGAAAATGCAAAAGAAACAAAAAATCAACCGAAGGAAAATTGAAGCAACAAGAAACGATCGCGTACGTCTGATGATAATAAGAATACAATCCGAAATGAAGCATAAAAGAAGTAAGAAAGAAAAACAAGCCAAACGCTCTCGGACTCGCGAGAAACCACATTGAGAAAGAGAAGAGCGACTCTGGGCTTAAGACCCGAAGTTGTATGTATAAGTGACTTAAACTTTAAAATTTTTGCAGAATAGCTTAACATCTTACGGCTTTCCTACAAACATTCACTTGACTTCACTCATTTTCTTCTCTCTTTTCCTCGGTTATGCTCAGCAAGTACCGCAAAATGCATACGGTCATAGCACCGACTATTTGCTTACTTATGACTTCAAAAAGAGAATAAAAGAAACAGTTTATTTAATTATGACTTATAAACACAATTTAAAGTGTTTTTTCTCCAACAAACTTTTTAATTTTAATTCTATTTTGTAATGAGATAACTTGGTTTGCTGAAAACTGTTATAAATAATAACCATAACAAATCATTTAGAAAAATCTTCCGACTGTTAAAACAGGAGCTTCATGAATTTGCACTAGGTAGAGGGTAAATGTGGGTCTGATCTCAACACTCTAAAACCACTCTGTTGTTATTAATATCGAAACATACACTACAGTTAAGCTTTTTTGTCCCGGGGCTAATAAACTCAAAACTCTTCTTATCATCTCACTTACTTCTCTATTACAACATGATCAAAATTATTTCACCCAAAATTCCACAACGATGACATAATAAATTGACTTTTATATTTCTCATGTATTTGCCTGATTGCACTTTAATTATAAAGTTGACTTTTTTTCGGGTGTCTTGTTTCTTATTTAACTGTGACAAAATCTTAAACGTAATCGTGATCTCTCTCTCACTCATTTACCTTGTTAAAAATGATTGAGAAAAATGACTTTTCGTTGTTGTTCATACCTAATTGAGTAATTCGATAATTTGTGTATCTCGTGATTTTTATTTTGTTATTTCTTTTCTTCTTTTAAATAGGTGAAACAGGAAATTTGTTACTGTGTCTTTAAGAATTGGGAAATTTTGAAGATTAATCATCATAGATATAGATAAATGATTTCATTAACACTGTTTGCAGATATTTTTGATTATTTGATTACTTAGCCAAATGGCTGAAGAATTTCCCATTAAATAATCAAGAACTCCAAAAAGCTTTTAAACATCTTCGCATCATCATCAAACGAAAGCAATGATAATCGCTTATTTATTGTTTACGTATGCGTAAAATTGTATGGTCATTTCTCCGGGAAGTGATCATTCGAAGCCGAAAAGCTACCAAAGCGGCGACTTTGAATGAAACTCAAACCTGATCCAACACCCATGGAGAACGCCACCTTAATTAAATTCCAAAAACGTTTGTATATTTTCAACATTTTACAACATTTTCTTCTCATAGTCATTTAAAAGTCATCAGAAGGTAACAAGAAAAGCACAAGCCACTCCAGAATTCATCATTCAAATCAGATGTTGTTTATGTGAATGAAACGCGTGCCTTGGCTACCTGATTTCAGAAAAGCTTTTGTTTATTTCGAGCTCAAGCACGATTCATCATTACCGGTCTGAATATTTCGACAATAAAGCATTAGAGTGAATCAAAATGTTCTGACACTTGACCGCAATTTCGTAATAATTAAGTGTTGTTTGTATACATCAGATGTTTAAGAAAAACAAATCAGATCATCAATCTTACGACGAGAACGTGGACTTACCAAAACGAAAACATCGAAATTGACAAAAAGTAAGCGTAAGAAAATCGTGTGAAATGAATTTGAACGGTCCAGTAAGATTATGGGCTTTATTTGATAATCGCGACAGCGAGGAAAAGATCAGCAACGCACAAACTTCCTCATCTTAACGCCTTTACAACTACTTATTGACCGAAAAAAAAATGTAAAACGAATCGTGATGAATGGATAACAGCAACTTTACTTCATTCACAGCTTTACTTTATTTGCTCTGATTTCGGGATGGAAAATTTTAGCGAAAATCATTTGGAACATGATAGAAATGCTTTTAACATTCAGACATTCATTTCAATATCAGTCATGCGACATGACTTTTGTGACGTTTGAGAGTTTGCAATGATGAATTTAACAATAATAAATTAATGTTTCTCATGGTATTTACTGAATATTTATAAACTCAGATAGAAGGAAAACAATATCTGAGTAAAAACAATTATCGCAGGTTGAAATAAAATTATACTAAATTAAACCATGAAGCAATCATATTTGCATTTGATGTTACAAGTGTTTTGTGCAAAGTAGAAACTTAAGTATTTACTTAGATAATAAAATTTCACAAAATTCTCTATCAACAATATGGAATGTTCAAGTTAAAAAAATTCACATGATTAAAGCATCTCTTTTGAAAAATTCGCTCATAATTAGAATCATCTATTGTAAGTGGCAAGATAAATTCCCATAAAGCTCTCTCCATTCATCATTTAGTATCACATCTGGGCTTACCTTTGTTAGCCCGAAAATGAAAGTTTTTGTGATGTTCTTGCGTAAACTCTTTCTTTCAATTGTGTTTTCAATTTCATAAAAGATATTTCAATATTTTGCTTCTCAAAACGAATCTAGAATTAATGATCTCAGATTGAAGTAAATTCTCAATTGAGAGCTCATCTGATTAATTATGATTTCCGTAATGAACAATTTAAAGAGAAATTTTCTAAACTTTCCTCTGATTTTAACTCTTTTTTTTGCTTTTCTTTTATTTACGAAGAGAAGTTCACCTGTTTTTGTGCTTCAACTTTAAGTCTACCAACGCCTGAATGAATACTAATCACCATTTAAATACATTACCAATTTGGATATTTTTGGTTGAGTTTTATTCGCATTTGTAGACAGAAGATTTCCATCGAAAATGAATTTAATTTTTTTAAGTAAATTTTTGGAACTCGCCAACTCTTCCTATTGAGTTTTGGAGAGAAAACAATTTAATTTTTCTTCACCATTCACTCCATCATCAGACAACAAATGATCAAAGTTAAATATTGTCTAATTAATTAATTAATTACAAAAAAATAGAGTAGAAGATGAATGAGAAATACTTCAATAGTTAAAAATTTCATTAGTAAACAAAAGCGAATATATTTTTGTGAGGGCTGTTTGAAAATGAAAAGAGAGAAAGCAGATGAAGCGAACTTAATTGTTTTGCTAAATGATTTAAACTTCAATCAAAAAATGGTTTTTTTTTGGTTTGACCTAAAGCAAGTAAATAAACCTGTCTTAGCGTGATGGAGCATTTTTTTCAGTTAAATCTTTTCATGCCATTTCCAGATAGATCTATGAAAAGATTTGATTTTTTTTTACCAAATTTATTATTCATTTAACTAGCCTTAATAAGAGATACCTTTAAACTATATTTCAAGTTAATTCAATCAATTGCAATGTGAGTTAACTTTAAATCACCTGCTTTTTGTTTTCAATAATATTTCTTAAGGCAAGTTAATCTAATCGTTGAAAAAAAAGAAAATTCATATTAACTTTTACTTTTTTGAATGAATATGACAAGACGCAACGTTCATACTGAAAGTTTAATAGTCACATCGATTGACCGACTTTCCGATCAGCAACTTGCATGACGATTACATCTAATTAGCTTCCGAAAGTTGCTACTCATGGTTGGGCAAGCATACTACTCATGTCTCCTTCATCGATATCTAGAAAATCATCATATTTTTCTTAGTCAACTCAACTCTCGATGCGCTTTCTTGTGCGCAAATATTATGAATATAAAATTAGTTATATGAATTTCTAAATCATAACCAAATTAAATCTTCAAATTTCTAAATAACACCCACTTAACATTTTTATAGCGGGTTAAAAATAAGCCATCAAAACAGAAACAAATCCAAAATTTTTATACAATTAGCATAGATAATCCGTTGCCAGTTTTCATGTGCACGTTTCTTGACACGAAGCGTTATGGCGATCTCAATGTCTATAAATCAAGATGATAATCAATCGAGCATTCTCTCCGAAAAAGGATGAAATAAGTCAGTAAGTGTCGGAAAATAATTGTCGATCTCAAAACACGTTGAAAATGTTTGAGTGCTACCAATAATTTAAAATAATTTTTTAGTTATTTAATCGAATGACCAATTAAGCATCTAGCGAGTATAAATATTAATTTATAATTATTTTAAATGTAAATATGTAGGCCATTAGGTAACAATAGCTATGAAAATATTGTTACAGCGATCACAATCGTTATTTTAAACATCAAACTGCAGTCATGGCTATAATGATGGATTCAAGCAATGACGATTTACAATCTTCAAAGTTGTTTCAAACAAAACCTGTAAGCATTTGATAAGAAATAATTAATTGACTTCAAAAATGTTCATTCAGACCTTTAAGTCAATAAATCTCGATTAAAACACCACAAAAGAAATTGTATTAATCTACCAATTTTAAGTTCTTTCACTCCAGAAAATGAGCTTGAATGTTTTCTATCAATCGATTATTTTCACATTTCAATTCATTTTTCTAGGCTTAGAAAGTTTTTCTTTCTTTTGCTTCCCCAAATTATGACCAATTTAAACACTATTTTTAAACGCATAAATAATTTAAAGCCAATTGACCCAATTCCCGAAATAAGTTCTGTAATTATAAATTTGAAACGTATCGCGTTATTATTAAAGCGCATGCTAAGAACACAAAGAAGAAATTTGGTGTTAGATATCGCATTTTAAACATTAATTGATTTTCCACTTAACAAGCTAAACTACTCATTAAATTATTTCAACAAAAAAACGATGAACCATTGCATTCTTAGCCGACCTAAAAAAAAGCTTTTTATCTGATGATTTAAAAGTATAAATGAGTTTAAATTAATATTAGAAATGAATAAATGAACTCAATGGTTCTAGTTTGTTTGCTTCATCAACATTACAAGAATTTACCGTCTTTAAACAAGTTTCAAACGCGACCTATATTTGCTGATATTTTTCATCGCAGCAAAGAATAAGGAAAGATTATCAGGAGGTTACACAACAAAAACGGAACAAACGAGAATTTTTCTCTCTCACTAAACTGTTTACAGATTCCATCCAGTGTTTGTTATCGTTACATAACTTTTTTCTTCTCGTCTTCTTTATGAATGCTTTTCCGTATCTCCAAAGGTATTCATTTCACCTACATTCTGTGATAGAAGAAAAGTGTTCTTCTCATACCATGTCGTAATAAACTCAACATAAATTTCCATTATGAAACAGATTTAATATATCTAATATTAAAAAAACAAATTGCTTCACGAAAGACGACACATCAAAATAACTTAATTAATTCTCTAACTTTCTTTCCCCTTCACATACCACCGGTCATCAAAGTGTCATCATTATTGTTTTAAATGTTGACACGTTACTTTAATCCACCTTAAAACTTTCGCTAAAATTGTGATGTAATGTAAAATCATGTATTATCACGATGTTTTTAATTTTAATATCATTAGATAAGGTCATGCAAGAAAAGCAATTTCATGAAATTAATCGTTTGCCATGACAAAAATGAAAATCACTCTTTCCATTTCCTGGAAAAAGATTTTCCACAAACTTTTTCCTCGTCGTTTGCTCATTCATTAGCATTTTATGGACATGCTGCTACATCTATTTACCGTAAAGAAAATATTCTTCGTCACATATATTTAAGAGACGAAGTGAATAACAACATTACGTATGTATATATGTAACTGTAACATTTGCATTCGTTAATCTATCTGAACTTAAAGAAGAATTCTCTTTCCTTATACCCCAGTGACTGTTATTTTATGCAGCGGTAGAATAAATACCGGTTATTAATTCTCGGTGACGTTTCTCGAGCGACAATGTGTTACAATTATGCTGAGGTAATTTTTTCCAATTATCATAATCTCCAGTAATAAGAATAAAACATGTATAAACCGTTCTATCGATATTCTATGATTAAATTTCTCATTACAATCCAAATCATAACTTGAATATTACTTAGAAGTTAGAACTGTGTATTAATTAGAATTTTCTACGTTCTAAGCAATCGTTTAAGAACAACTTTCAAACGACGGCAAATAGAATATCAAATAACTTGTTAGAATTTTTACGCCTCTTTGAATTATTTAGCGCTATCATGCACAGGAATTAAATCTTCATGCAAAGAGAAAAGAATCTTCAGCGTAGAAAGAATTCTTACAAGCATTTTTTAAGTAATCTTGCGTCAATATAAAGTTAAACATCTTTATCGACACTTCCTTACATAGATTTGAAGGAGAATATTTACGTCCCATAAACATTATTTAATTATTTATATTTAATTGTTGAAAGATTATTTGAGCAAAGAATGCAAAATTGCTTCGCGATGCTTCATAAATATGCCTGATTGTTCTAAGAAAGAATTAAATCTAAGAACAAGCAGAAGAGATTCTAGAAGTGTCGAAGAACTTTCATGAAAACTCTCAGTTTCGGTTAATTTATTTATGGGAAGAAATTCTCCAATTAACTTAAAAGGCACTCAAAGAAAATAGTTTGATTCAACTACATAACAGAATAAAAGTATGATCATATTAACGATTACAGAAAACCACTTCAAAGAAATTGACGAATGTTTTATAGCATTAAAGTAATTTTTAAGAAATTAACTACACCACTGTTACGCAATCTAAGTGAACGCTTCAGATGTTTTCTTTTCAAAGAAACTTTATCAGAATTTTTAATTGCCTTTGCTCTTTCTTTCTTAGTTTTTTGAAGTTTTGCAATTCTAATAAAACCTGTAAACGTCCATATATTCGTCTAAGTGCTCGTTTGAAATCATTTGAAAGAAAATAAACCTGCAAAGATTTCCCGTTAGCGCAGATAATTCTCTTAACCACCTCCATTCATGCTTTATTAAAACTTTAAAAATAATTTATTTTTATCAAAACGTCTTAATTAATGAACCCATTTCAAAATAAATAACTTATTCTCCAATCATTCTCTGACGTAAAAGTAAATACTCTAATTAAGGTGAATTAATTTATAAACGTGTGCAAAGATGTAATAAGAGCAACGTCATGTCAATGTGATGAAGGTCACGATTGATAAAGATTTATCGATTCTTGAATATCTATTTAATTTATCCCAAACATCGATCAATTTCTGTTGATTAAAAAGAGAAGAGATTGTCCTAGGCAAGCAATATGTTTATTTAATATACCACATCGTCTCGAAAGTCATCAAAATATCAAATTGAAAAAGGTTGAAAACTTATGAAAAAGTTTTTATAAACTTTTGAAATTTCAAGCTTACTATAAAGAAAAGTTTGACATACCTAATAGAATATGTCAATGAGATCAATTGTCATAAAATACTTTAAAAAGTCCCCACAAAATTTTAAAAATAGGTCCGAAGGGGAACTTTCAATATCATAAAGTCCCCAGAACCATGAAGTTTGTTTTCTGATTTAGATTTGTGAGTTCAGTGATTTTTCTTAAATCTAGATAATTTAATTTCACTTCCATAACTTTCTTTTTAAGGGAATTAGAATTTGGATGATGTTAATTCTAGCGTGTACGCTAGTCTTGACATATGGCTTGTTTAAGTCTATAAATGGAATTTTCAAACCGATGGTCAAGTGGGTCTTTCTTAGTAAATAATCAAGATTTTTTTTCAATTTCCTAGACGTTTAACAACCGCGGTAACGATGCGTGAATTTCCGCTCATTTCACTTAAATTTAAGCAATTGAATCGATTAATTGAGAAAAAGTCATGTTCCCAATTCAGTTTCAGAGTTTCTGAAGATTTGAAGAAGGTTTAAGTGTCAACAGATTGAACGATTATGTGGATTGAAGGAAGAAGAGGAGAAATAAATATTAACAGAATGTTTAGATAGGTAAAGGAAAATCTATGAAGATTGAAAGTTTGAAAAAGAATTTAAATATTTTGGAAGAAAATCAAAGACAACTTAAAGAGTTACAGTCAAAACTAACCATCACAATGAAGAAAGAAAGACAATCTCATATCGATGATAAATATTTAAATAAGATGTCTGTACAGAAAATCGGTTTTTGGACGAAATATGGAAAAGCAGAATAATTCAACACTTTGAAATCGGCTTAGATTTCAATACAAACATTGTGTCGCTGGAAATTAAATTGTCTTCTTAATGTCGAAAGATTCTGCTTTCATTTATATCGATTCAAAGTGTCTTTTCCAGTAATGATTTGAAACAAAATATTACAATAATTTAATAAAAATATTCTAAAATCATTTGCTGGGTAGACAAAAAATTTCATGAAAATATTTTCTTACATTGGCACATTGCAATGTAATAATTTTGCTTTCGCTTTTCATGAAATTCACTAAGAAACCTAATTACATTAGAAAAGTATTTCAACTTGAATTAATGCTTCATAAAAATGTATGTTGGCTTGGGAATTCTTCAATCTATTTAGAAATGAAACAAAGACCAAAACATTGTAATGCATTCATCAAAATAAAAGCCAATGTCTTTCGAAAACGAAAACAAACACAAAAAATGCATAATGAATGCAATAAATTAAAAGATGAAACACCAAAGTAGCATCTAATCAACGCCCATGTCGTAACCATAGCTAAATACTCTTCGCAAAATGTAACACGAAATAAAAAGCGACTTAAAAACATTCATTTGAATTATCTGCTTGTCCGATGACAATGCAATCATTTCCGAAATTATTGTGTCACTGAAGAAGCTAAATGTGATTTCCATTCTCTTCCGTGCCTTTACTTCACCATTTACAATAAAATGACAAACATAAAAAGTGAATTTATGTCTGGTAGATCTCCAGTTCTCGAAGTTGTTGTTACAAAAACAATGATGAGCAGAGATTTGTTTCTAAGACTTCAAATAAAAGTGAAAATCTATTGTTTCATTTAGCTTTTAAATAAAGTCTTGTGTGAATGCTGATAAATCATATACGTAATATGGAAGCAGCATGTTTAGTCCCGACACATTTTTGATTTGAGTTACACAATTGTAACAATTTAGATGTCATCACTTTTATTGTTTCGTCGTCGTTAAAGTCAACTCATGAATTCATCATCTCGATATGTTTTAGTTTCTAATAATCTCAGTAATAAACTCACCCTTTGCAATGAATGCTTCCGATGCCTTAAATGTGGGGCGCCCGTGTTAGGTTGTAATGGCACAGCCGGTTCAGGTGTCACTGTTTGAATCGGCCTCGAAGGCTTTGTTGCCAACTTTTTCAATGTCACAATACGTTTTTCACACATCAGTTTAACGTCATCGATCCGTTGTAAAACCTAAGTGAATCAATTGATTGTTTATTGCAGAATTCAAGCTTTTTTCATTAAAATCAATTTGCATTAACTGAAGATTATCGAAAAAAATGTGAAAAAATCTATCAATTCGTTTAAGTCGAATTCAATTGAATTGTTGGGAATTTAAATGTCAATGAAAGATTAACTGCTACATCAATGAAGGAAATATGTGATTTACGACTCATGTCCCATTGCGCAACTATCAATTAGTAATTTAGTAATTAAAAAAAACTTTCAAACAAATAAAAATTAACAAAAGCTTAATTATTCGATTTCAATGCACAGTCAATGAAACTTTCACTAAATAAGTTGATATCAATGTATGTACATGGCTTTTTCTTTTGTTTTGTTATTTCATTTTAATTCAATTGATCAGAAAATGCAAATGCATTGATGAACATTGAAGATTATTGTTGAAAAGATTGACAACAAACCAAAGTTCATTGCATTAGCAATGCCAATCTCTAGTTTAAAATATAAATAAACAATTGAAATGTAAACTTACCTGAGAAACAATTATACTCTCCAACGAAGTACTTTCATCGTAATCTCTCAAATTTGACAATTGGAATTCTTCAGCTGATTCAATAAACTGAATAATTTCATGTAACTTAATCTCAGCAGTTTCCGGTGGGACTGATACGTTCTCAATTCGTTGTGATGCTAAGAGATCAATGCCTTTGGCACACCATTCATTAGCCATATCGATTCTCTCCATGAGATCGCGAGCTTTCGTAAGAGTTTCTGCTCGTTTGCTTAGTTTTTCATTAAACAATTTAACAATACGAGTAAGTTCATTGCATTTTGGTTCAACCATATCTTTCGATGAACATTTCTCGCTACAATCAATAATACTTTGTCCTTTTGTCATCGCTTCATCAGCTCGAATAATGTCTGCTTCACACGATTCCTTAAAAGCCATAATGTCTTCAATGAAATGATCGATTCGTGTAACTGTATCGCCAATTTCTGTCATTTCACTTAACGCTCTTAAATGACCATCAAACTTTGACTGAAATTAATTATTAGATATCAAAAATAATTATTAAATGGAATATAAACTTGAATAAAGTTTCAAGGTCGATGTATGAAAGTTTGAAAATTTGTTTCAAACTTTTGTGAACAAAACTTTTAACAAGCTTTTTACTCTTTTTTAACGACCTCAAAATTTAATGAGCTAAACTAACCTGAAGCTCCCTGAAGTCATGTTCAAAACGTCGCAATTCCAAACACTGACGTAGCTCCCGCATGTGTTCCTCATAAAACTGATCGAATCTCAATTCCGTCTCTTGTAATTGCACAATTAATCTGGAGGTATCGCGACTAGTATCAAAACGGTGAACATTGAAATTTAAATGAGACGTCTCTGCACTGTGACTTTTTCATGAAATTATTATCTAAATGTTTCTTTTTTTTGTGTGTGTATGTGTGCTTGTGTTCTTAGAATGATTAAATGCGTAATGAATAAATGTGATGAGTAATTATTTATGATTAAATTCAAATGCATATAAAGCACTTTTTTGCGTGTCAGTTCGTGGAAGCATGAAGTCTTAATTTTTATGTAAAATTATCTACCAAGAGAAAGCCTTCGATTATCTAGATAAATAATCATCAAATAATGTTGGAAATCTACTGTAAATGACTTAAATATAGAACTGAATGATAAAGAAAATTATTTCTACTTAATGTGGATGAATGGGATGTAAGAATGAATCATCAATCTCAGTTACTAAAAGATCATATGAACTTACGAAATGGATCTCTTGCGAATTCTCGGCACCATCGGTCTCAAGAGAAACATTTTATATCGTACTGAATATCAGATTCACTATGGTGATGTGTGGGAAATTGTGTAATAGTTTGAAAGTGAAAATTCTATGAAGTTTTAAACAATCGAATGGAAATGCAAACTATGAGAAATAACTAAACTCAACGAGAAATATGAACTGAGATAAAACTAATTATTGTAACAAGAAAGTGAACAAAAGAATGATGACGTATGGAGCATAATCAGAACTTGTTGTTTGTTGAATCGTCATTCCTTCTGGTTTACGAAATGAACAAAATAAAAACATTGAGTGGGAATGGAAGTTTCTCAAATAACCATTTAATTTTGATAAATTTCATTATTTTCCATATTCGTTTATCATTTTATTATTTAAAACGCGCAACACTTTCCACTTCCCATTTCTCTCAATTGCAAAATATTTAACAGTGCAGAGTTTAGAAAAATAATTTATAATAAAAAGCGGATTGATAAGCAGGAAAAAATCCATTCGTCTATTTGAAATTTAAATAGATATTCGTCAACTCACCGCTCTATTGAACTAATATTTCCGATTCTATCCACACACATTTCGGTCTTCTTCCGAATTTCTGCTAAAAGCTCTTCGCCTTGAAGACCCGCCGATAAAATTTCATCCTACGAATATTGCCAAATTTATTGATTTGTTCAAGACATTTAATTAATGATTCGATTTCACCTTTAATTTTGTGTATTCAGTGCCTTGTTCAATCAGTAGCTGTTCGGTAGCTTCAACTGAATTGGGAAATTCAGTGTCATGAATTTGTCGCATAAATGTTTCCAGATGATGTGCTACGAGTGTAGTTTGACAGGAAAACTTCTCGAGTGACTGTAGAAATTAGAAAATTATGTAGACAAGTATATTATGAGCTTAATACTAAAACCAGATAAGGAAACTGAAATTCTTTTAACTTGTAAATGTCGCAAATTTCCCAAGGAATTTGAATAAATATAGGAAAGAATAAAATTAACATTTCAAACGAAAGGCCAATAAAAATTTGACGTTTGGGAATTTCAATTTATTTACTCTAAAAAACTTTGGTCATTAACATTAACTGACACCCATTATGGACTGAAAAGTCTAGCAAATCCCCCACATGTGTTTTGTATAAACATAAATAAACATACAGATGACAACAACAATTCTGAATAGATACGATCACACTACATGCAAACTGTATGCAAATTATTCCATGAAATAGTTTTGAACTTACAATTCTCTGTTGTATCCATTCATGATGTGAATAGAACAAAGATCCGCTCAAGTCAGACGTTAGTTGTGATGGATGAATAAACTCATGAAGTTCTTCTATTTGTGCACAAATTATCACTCGAAAACGGAATTCTTCTTTAAAGAATTTGGAACTGACTTCGGAAATAGCTTTTTGGAAGAAACCGGATGGCCGAATTACATAAACGCATTGAATAAGTCCCGGAAAAAATGTCTGCAAATATTAAAACTTGAAATTATTTTCAATCAACAAGAAATGAGATTTAGAACTTGCCGAAATTTTTGTCAATACTGCTTTAACAGACGCCCACGAATTCTTTCGCCGGTCAATGATAAGTTGAAAGCCAAGATCAGCATCTTGTAGTGATGTGACTCCAATCAGGTACTGAATTAATCGCTGATAATCTCGATCACATAACAAATGAAAGTTATTGTGGTCCGGAAAAGTTATGAGAGGTGAACCGGTATCCATTGACCGTCCACCTGTGATGATTGCATATTGTGGGTGCAGAAGGTCGGCAACATCAGCGACATGAAGAGGTTCTTCTGCGGAACTTACACTTAAAGTTTTTTGTCTTTGGCTGCTGTTACTTGAACGTGTTAAAATCGAGCTCAAACTTTCCGATCCATTCATCTGCGTTAACGATTCGTCTCCATTACTCGACATGTTTGAGTTAAAAATCACGGTTTGTATCGATGTTGAACTATTCACCGATATTTGATGTTGATAAATGTGATTTCGTGGAGAAGCTTCACTTAAATGCGTATCATAACGCTCTGTAACAAAAAACCAAGCGATGAGAAAGATAAAAAATATTGCCAGCATAATACTACAGCAGTGCATGATGTACGCTTGTTTCAACAATGTTATCAATGAAAGAGAGATAAGAGACAAGCAACTACGTTATGTAAATGTTGGAGAATTAATCGAAAACATGGATAACAATATTTATGCCTCACCAAAGTCTAGAAACAAGCGCGAGGTCGGAAATTTAATAAAATTATGTGGGATAACAAAACAATGCAGAAAAGAATTGTTGATAACATTGATTTACTTTGCTTACACTTATATTTGTCACTTTAAGTACAATTTTTTGAATAATTTCAGAATGAATTTTATGTGAAATCTTTTTTGACAAAACTTTTCACTTTCTTTTAACATTTACGATTGAACATTGAACAATAACAAAAATGAAGTAAATTAAAATCTGTGGTAAAAGAAGAAGATTGTTATTCTTCTCCAACAAACTGCCTCTTTCTCAGTAGATGAAAAGAGAGTAAAGTCAGAAATATCAGCTGCAACAACTTACACAACTGAAAATCTGACGTGCTTTCAGTCAATCGTCGTCATTGATTTTTTTTTCAATTTATGACAATTTTCTGTCGCCAAGCGGCAAAAGTTTATTCAAGTTTCAATGAAAATTCTCAACTTTTTAAATATTTCACTTTTTATTATAATTAAGCATTTATTTTCTTAGTTATACGAGTCAGACAGAGACTTTAAGATTATGAGAATGATCAAGTCACAGGAGCGAAAAGAGAAAAATCGACTCAGGGTTTAAGAAGTTGTTACGTTTGACCATATTGTGAAAATTGTTGTGAATATTTAATGTTTTGTTATTATCAATGTTTGGTTTTCTGTTCAAATCTTTTCATACAAATCCCTGTGTAACTAATTAACTTTGAATCCGTTTTTGCTACATTAACTTTAACAAGTTCAAGCTTAAAATCACCTTAAGAAACTTTCCATTCTTCTTAATTAAAAATCTTTTTGTTTGTAAATTCTATTGCCCTGAAAAAAAAAGTATTTTTAAAGCTTATTGTTAAATACGAGTTTGAACGCTTACTGTTAGTCATTGACTAATCTCATGTTTTTATTTTTAATGTAACAACAATGAATCAGCATGAAAAAAATCATTCTAGACGATAATCCGTCTCAAAAGCAATTTCAATGGATAGTACGTAACAAAATTAAAATTTACTTAACGAAGACCAAAGAAAAACTGCGTAAATAATGTTATGCGGTCGTTTTCCTTTATTTTTAAGAATGTCTGATGAAATTTAGCAATCTGTGTTATCAATCATACAATTTAAACTCCAAGAAATCTTATGGAGTTACCACTTCGTAAGTGATCAACTCATCGGTATTATAAATAACTTCTTCATTCACTACATGCCCGTCTTTCATTTCTTCTTCACTCTGATTTTTGTCTTCAGGATAATACACCTCAGCCTCCTCATTCTCATCGTAAATATGATCTTCTGAATTTGCTAAAACAAAATAATTTTCTCCTTGAACTTCTACATAATTTGAATTATCAATATCTGGTTTCAGATGTTCTTCTTTCATTCGTTTGTTATGTTTCGTGGACATTGGAGTTGTCGAGAGATTTTTATGATTTTGGTAAAGTAGTCGGACATGTGGAAATTGTTTCCTAAAGAATGTTCTGAACGTAGTAAAGCCCATAATCTTAACACCGCCATCCATAATCTCCTCACGTGCTTTATATTCGTTATAAACCTTTGAAAGCGATTGATTTAGTGTTATGGTTTTGCTTGTACTATTCTTTTCGATTTGCAGGAATTCTCGGAAGAAATTCTCAACTCTCTTATACATGTCAAACGGCAGAGCATTGTGAGGTGTTTTATGTGAGTTTCCATGTTGAATCGCAACAACGCCATTCTTAGCTACGTGAGATCGAATTTTTTTTATTTGATAAATGGAAACATTTTCAAGGTAAAGGAAAGCATATAAACAAACACGCTTTCCCATATAAGAGTAAGAGGATCTTCTTCTCTGTACTTTAAGTCCTTTCTCACTCCGATCAATCAAAGCTGCTCTCACAATTCCCATCAGGTAAAATTCCTGCTCGTTTTTCGATAGTTCAGCCATATTTAGTCGATGTTTAAATACAACTTCTGGATCAAAAGATTGGAAACAGCTAACAGTACATTCGCAGCCTTTGCTCAGCTTTGCTTTTACTTGTGATACGGATTCTTCTAGTGTTGTGTTTGAGTAATTTTTATTTGGACATTTTTCTTTTTCACTCTAAAAAAAAAATATAAATCGAATTATTTAAATGTTGAAAATATGTTTTTAAGATCAAATACCTTGTTTAATCTTCGCATTAATGGCATTTCGGTATCCTCGTCAGAACTTTCTGCTTCATTTATTCCTGAATCTACTCCTGACATTTTACTTTTATTTATTGACTTGAAATTCAGTAAATGAACAACTTTGAGAGTTTATAATTGTGTATGCGACAAATGTTAGCACTTAAATTGCATTTAATGAATAATTTTGCAAACTTTTATAATATTAATCAAGATATTAATGCTACGAATTCAAGCGATAGAAATTTACAAATTCAATGTTTTAATTTTCTCAGAGAAATGTAAATTTGAGTGTAAATTTACAAAATCTCTCTCTGTTTTCGGATTACGCTGATTTCTCTCCCGGATAATTCCGATTTGTCCCCTGCATTGAAATTTTCAACGTTATGATTTAGAACGAATGCATTTCCCAGCGTTTTCTTTGTTTTCTTTTTTTTTCCTTATGCCACGTCTTCTCTAAATATCACAGCTTTTTTAGCATGCTTATGAAGTTTACACATTTTATAAGAATAGTTGAAAAGAATTTGAAAACATGTCATTCAATTCTGTTTGACTTTTCTTTCGTTGCAATTGTCACGAATTCTAAATTGTTCAAATCATTAAACAAAGTGAGTCATCGTCTATGATTTCGCATTAGAGTCAATTTAACATAATACATAAATATTGTTCTCGCACTGAAAAATTGCTATTTTATGCTAATTTAATAGGAAAGCTAGGTAGTTATATTCTGTTGATATGTGCACATATAATTTTCTAGCAATAAATTGAAACGCATATGAATAGATTTTCATTACATTTACATGAACAATAGAACTTTGTCCCTTTAATAGTTTTTTCAATGATGATAAATGAGATTGTTTCATATTAATCAAAGTTAAATACCTGTCATTTCTAGGCCTTCATCCATTGAGCTTTTATTCCGATTTCTTATCAATCCATCGTTAAATAGTAGATCTTCTTCAATAGCGTTGTTTGCTTCTTTATTAAAATTTTCCAAGAAATCATTGATTTTTTTTTCCAAGTTGAAGTTGTTGCTATCCATAAATAATTTCACAACGTTATCACTTAAACTACACTTAATCTATGATCGAATAACAATTTTAACTCATTAACCCTAATGAAAACATTTAATTTTGAATTTTCACTAAAATTTTCCGCGAAGCTGCTTTTTCAATCGATAATCAGCTTTTTCTTGTGTTCTCTCGGAGAATCGTGGCAAAAATGAAGAGTTTGTCTTTACTTTCACACTTTTAGTCAGCGAATTATTTATAGTACGATTTTAAATTAACTTTAAAGATATTTTCAGTCAAGGAATGATTCTTTAATCCGTTTAGTGTAGGTAACTTTTCCTGACTTGAACAATTCTTAGAATTTTATTCATCTGGCAACCTCACATTCATTTCCTCTCTAGAATCCGATGTAAACTTGAATGTAAACTTTAAAAAACACATTTGTTTAGAAGCTCAATAATTTACTTTATTTATAATTTATAAATAATTATAAAATATAAGAATTAATTTTATATTCTAAGGGTAGCTTACATTAAGAGCATTGAATTACAGTTTTTGTGATTATTATTGAAGAAATAAATAAATAATCTCAGTACCACTTACGTCATTTGCGACGACGCTTCTTTTGAATTGCCTTTTCTTGCATTTCCCTTTCTTTTTCATCAATTTGTGTTTCAGTGTCTTCTTTGATTTCTTCTTCCTTTACGTCTGAGACTGGAACGGCATCCGGTTTTTTAATCAATCTTATTGTCTGTTTTAAAGGAAATTCGTCGGAAGCATTGTCAATGCTGTATTCTTGATCTGGTATTGGCTCAGTGACATTAACTTTCACTTCTTCTTTTTCTGATGGCCTACTATTACTAGAAGAGTCTTCATCAATTAAATCTTTCGGTAAAGGACGAATAGGACGGTATCCTTTCAATTCTTCAATTAATTTTGCAAGTTCTTCTCGGTTACCGGCTACTACACTCCACGATTCCTCATCTAAATTCTCTTGATATATTTTTATGTTTGCTTTCTCATCCATTTGACAGTAATAAACATTCCCATCCTTGTCTTTTCCAAAAGGTTCCAGACGCAATTCTGTACTGGGCTTTGCATTGATCAGATTCTTAAATTTAACGTTTACGTCAAATTGTCCCTCAAGGAGATTTTTTAAAATACGAAGTTTAGCTCCTAAGTTTGAATGTAAATATCCATATCGTTCAACCTCGAAAGCATCTTCAAAAAATTAGTTTTGAATTATTGTAAATTATTCCTTAATTATCAAATTATTTTACCATCGGCTCCACCATAAAAATAGCAAAATTTGATTATTGCTTTCTCCCATTTTTCAGCATTTACTGAACGTTTTAATTTCCGCAATAATTTCACATGAATATCCTGAAGTTCCGGTGATACTTTAAAAATAATGTTGGAGATAGATTAATTAATTAATAAAAAAATTACTGTATGAAACTCACCCTCATCTGTATTACTAATCCAATCCATCAAATCACTCATGACTGGAGGTTTATCAGGAAAGACTGCAGTTCCAAACTGATCAAGAAACGAGACAATAACAGCCACTGAAAATTGTTGTGAAATTGGAATGTGTACGTGATTTCAAAACTGCTCAAATATTTTCGATTTTTACCATTTGGATCAGAATAAACAGACTCTTCTTCATCTCTATCCTCTTCCTCTTTAGTTACGATTTCTGTAGCTTCTATTTCAGTCATTTTTCCATTCAAAATAAAGCCTTAAAATTTAATTTTAATCAAGAGAATCTACAGCAATAAAAATTTGTTTATAGAATCAGGCAACACTTCTTTTCCACATAGAAGGGCTAAGTGCGCCGGTAATCCCCACATTTTGTTGCCCAATTTTAAAAGATATAAACAATAATAAACAATAAATAAGCATTAAATAATAAATTAATAAACCAAAAGAAATAAGAAATCAAATAATTAATAAAAATAGCTAAGAAGAACTTTTCCGCGTCCGAGAAATTTATTCCTCCAAGTGATTTCTACACTCTCCACCTGAAACTGCTTTTCGGAAATTCAGTTTTCAAGAGTTTCTTTTATAAATAGGCGTCCCTTGGAAGAAATTTATTTAATTTTTAAAGTATAATTGAAAGTGTGTCGTCTTACCAATAATAAAGTTTACAATCTATGGTTTTTGTTTAAGGTGAGTGACAAGATTGATGTTGATGTGTTATTCTTAATATAAATATTGCTGTTTTTTTTTCAGAGAAAATAAATTTTATAATACAAATATGGCGGAAGTTCCCACTATAGAAACACGCAGTCGTTCGCGATCAAAAACGCCGGGTTTGTTGGCAAGTGAGAATGGAGATCATGGAAAAAAGGGATCGAAAAAGATTCCTACTATAAGTTTAATTGAAGAAGAAGACGACGCTGTGGAAATTGTTCCAATATCACAAGATACACGTCCAAAGCGTCAACGTCGTAATGCCAAAGCCGTTACTTCTGATACGTCAGGTGATGTATCGGAAGATTCGCTTAAAAACAGCCAGAAGAAAAATGTCATTAAGTCTGTAACAGTTGAATCAGTGAGTGTTGTAAAGACGACTAATGGAAATGAAGAATCGAGTGAACAAGTAACAACATCAGTCAAATCTACCTCTAATGAAGGATCAGATGCTCTCGAAAATCAGAGCATATTTAACAATATCTTCACCGCCATAAAAACAAGTACACCAATATTATCGAACAAAAGCTCTAAACGTGTAACCCAAAATGCAATCAATTCAGATGTCAACGCCGCTGATCATCCAGCTTATAAACTGTACATAGAGGCCGGCGAATATTGGAACCAATATCCAAAAACTGACTACACATATTCCGAGTTGTCTCCTCATCGTCGTGAATTAAGTAATGGCATCGTTGCTATGCCAAATATGTCACGACGATCACTTGAAAAGTACCACACACGTGTGGAAAATATGATTCAAAAGAATCCAACCGAGGAAGGTTTTCTTCGTCGCAAGTTTTTGTCAAACGCTAATACCTCGTTCCAAAAACGATCTGCAGACTTGCAATATGACTCCGCCGATGAAATTGATGTATCAAAGTTTCGTAACTCGTACCAAGTCCGTAAGCAGGAAAACTTCATGAGTCGCTTTGTTTCGATGATTAGAAGCATGTTTGTCTCGTTATATGACCGAACATCGCAAGCATTCTCTTTATCGAGAGGAAGACGATCTTACTATCCCGTCAGAAAGCAACCTGGTAATTATTTTATATTATTTAATTAAAATTTCTTTCATTTCTAATTTAAAATATTTTTAGGAATCTTCTACAAAGCTTTCGAATCATTGAAAAAGTTTTTGTTGTTGACATTCTCCAAAATTTATCTGCTTATCTCATCCATTCTATGTTTGGATACTTGGATTGTTTATAATCGTTCAAACAACACGATGGAAAATCGTAGACGTAAAAGGTTTATGCTGACAATGTTGGTGTTGCTTCCATTGCTAGTGCTTAGTGGTAAGTTGAGAGAATCTTTTAAGAGAGAATTGAAGATTAAAGTTTAATCATTTGTGCTTGCAGGAACTGCTTATTATCTTGATCCATCATTCAAGATTCCTCTTCCAACGATTACTTTGCCGACTTTACGTTTGCCTAAGTTGTCACTTCCTTCCTTCCCCGACTTGAAACTTCCAGAGATAAATTGGCCAACTTTCCCGAAGATT